ATTAAGCACCCTTCTGAATTTGAATTAAAAACAGAACCAAGCATATAAAGTTAAGTCTCAAAGGTTAAGTCGCTGGGGGCATGTTCGCTAGGGCAGCAGAAACCATGCCTATGTGCTTATTTATTTCACTTCAACAGCTTAAGAAAAAAAAGAAAATACACAAAAATATTACATTAACATTCTGATTTTTAATTGAGGCATATGTGACTGATGTTTAATGTGGAAACAGAGAAGAGTCGCTCTGCTCTCTAAATGCAGACATGGGCTGCAGCTGCTGCCCCTGAGTCCCTGGCAGTTTCTAAATACGCGTACTTGTGTCTTCTCATGTGCTCGTGAAATGACATCAGCCTCAACACCAGTATTGTTCCAACTGCCAAGAACACAAGACAGCGGCTGCTTCTAAGACTACCACACCAACAGCATTTTTATGTGTTTCTGAATGTCAATTGGATTAAAAATTTGTGAACTCAAAACTTCCCTCAATTCACCATGAAAAGAAGTGTGCATCCATTGTAACTAGACGAGGAGATATATCCCAGAATACATTGTGAGAGCTCTGCTTGCAAAGCATCATGGGGTTTTGTTGTGCTAATGATGTGTCTGAAAGTCCGCCCAAATTATATAGGGCACTATGTAGTGCTTATGCAATCTTAGATGAGTGTCTGAATGTCTAGTGAATGAAAAAGTAGTGGACTCGAAATTTCCCACAATGCTACTTGAAAAGTAGTGATCATCCATGGTCACTAGTCGAGCAAATATATCCCGGGAATGCTTTGCGAGGAGGCACAGCAGCCCACTGTCACCATAGGCTGTCGCTACCAGACAGCAGCAACAAAGATGGCGCAGGAAACTTGTGGGAAGACAGAGATAGGTGACCAACAGGGAGCAAATAGTAGTAATCATCTACGAAAGATGCAGCAGAAGCAACTAGTTTACATGCCAAGTCAATGGTTGATGCCCATCACGGTGCATCAAAAGGTCCTGCAGCCCCTTTCAAGCATCAGGAGCAGCGCAACTTGACACATCGAAGCAGCTAAAGAAGCGTTTCATGAATTTTAAGCATCTGAGGCCCAGGACACACTGCACAAGCAGCAGCTGCTTGAGTTGGAAAAATGTTACTTTTGAAAATTTTTACTTTTAAAATGTCTTATCCTGCCGGCAAAATATGTTTGCCTTTATTATTCTGGTGCCTGCAGTTTGGATGAAGTACATTAAAAAGCCTCCTCTGTTGCGGTTTGACTGTGACGCCATCCTGGAGAGAAACATCAGCTGTGCTGCTTCCATCAACACCCTTGTTTATAGATGCTGGAGATCGGCCTGTTTTCCAGTGTGGTCCTGTTTCTCTGACTGTGACTGAGGGATGTGCTCTCTTCGTCCTCTGGAATGGGAGCTGGCTCGGAGCTCGTCTGCCTGGCTGTGTGTTTCCTGGATGGGGCCGCCTTTTACAGCTGCTTTTTGTATCTCTGCTTCTGTCACCTGAACCCCAGTCGGCCTCAGCAGATGGCCGCTCACACTGAGCCTGGTTCTGCTGTCGCTACAAGCATGCTTAGTGTGAGGGATTGTATTTGAGTCAATGAGTCGATGCAATCAACTGGTTTTCCTTAGATAGAAAACTTTGTATCAATTTGACTGTATGATCTGGTTGAACTGTAAAGTGCCTTGAGATGACATGTGTTGTGAATTTGGCGCTATATAAATCAACTGAATTGAAAATTGAATTGAATTGAAAAACAGCAACATCTCCTGCCAGCCGCCACAAACAGTAGCGGAAACCCCCCCAAGAGGCTGCTGTTGAAAGGGATTCCCAATGACAGAGCACCGCCAGCGTACAGAGGTCTGAGCGAAAGTTATCGAAATATTATTTGAATCTTGATGAACTGACCGCACAGATGAGGTTTGCAGTTGGACTTTCTCGCTTAAAAACATGTCTATATAAACTACTTTTTACTCACTTATGACAGCAAATATAAGAAATCCACTCTCTGCCATTGAACACAGGAACGGCAGAAGCATCAGATGCATCTGGACACACTTTAATGGATGTGCTTCAGGAGCGTCAAAGATGCTCTTGAGGCGCGTCGGACCTTAATGTGTACAGGCAGCAAAAATAAAGCAGCGAAAGCTTTTTTGCTGCTTCCAGCGCTTGCGGTCTAAACGTAGCATAAGTTGGTGCAGGCGATATTTGGGGAGCAGGAGTCACATGCCCAAGGGGGAGCAAAAAATTGTGATCATCCATGCAAACAGTCAGAGTTTTTTGGAAAGTCCACAATATAGTCCCCTTGACATTCGTACACAGCACAAGAACGGACTAAATCCCAGGATGTTGTTCTTGCCCCTCCCTCTTTACCAAGCATGCATCAGAGCAGACTTGTGCATTCTTCAGAATGCTGTCCCAGCATGCACCACGGTGGCAGCTGGGTTTCAGGGGAGTACTCAGAATGGAGAAGTTAAATGTTCACTTTTTTGCTGCCATTGTTTTATAAAAATACATTTTAAGATTGTTTGAGGAAAGAACATTATGCCTATACTTTAATATTTGGCCCATTCACTGATTTAGTGTGTAATTTAAAAAGAAGTTCCTATGATAAGAGGACCGTAGCAACCACTGATCGTTATTTATTCTTAGTGGTAACAACCAGCGAACCTCTGACACTAACAACAGCTAGGGCTAATGTTAGAAGAATAATGGCGTGTCTGCTGCCTTTAATTTAATTTGTTTGTTTCTTTGTTTGTTTTATCTGACTGATGTCTTTATTTGTTAGCTAAATACTTTTAAATGACTTTATTGTATACAGCTTATTCAGTACAGTTATGTTTAGTTTTACCATTTAATTATTATCCAGCTACTAATAAAAAATAAGTGCTAATTATTATTATTATCGAGAGACTATACATAACAGGCAAAATGCATGTGGTGATGTCACCAGTACACTTCTGTTCCAACTCACACAGATTTGCCCTGCATGCTCCTGTATCCCATAAGTCCAGATCTCCTGTGTTCTTGTCAAGAACGTACTTGGAGAGAACACAAGTAGGTATTCGTGTACTTGTGAACTGAGAATCAGTCCCTTTGTTTTGGAGGGAAGTGCTCGCTTACTAACTGTTCGCTAAAGATGGTTAACGCTGAGCGATTATTTGATGTCACCAAAGTCTCCAACAAGACAGGAACAAGTTGCCAGATTAAATGCTAGATGCGTTCTGAAAAAAAAAATTAAAATAGTTTAGGGTGTAAAAAGGTGCTAAATATAGCGACAGATGCTAAGTTGGTAACAATGCAGATGCAACCTCGCGGTCTGTTTTTATACTTCTTGGCCAGCAGGGGGCAGAACAATTTTCCGAAGACAGCTGCATGGCGACATGAAGCCGCTTTTAGACATTTTGCATGTATAAATTTATACATTACATGACATTTATAATGTGTTAAGAAGAAAATTGGGGAATTCTCTTTACATGGTCTTTAATCTTCTGCAAATTGTTCATTGCTAACTCTGTCAAATCAGATAGATCAGGCATCCCCAAAGTCGGTCCTCGAGGGCCGCTTTCCTGCAGGTTTTAGAGGTTTTCCTGCTCCAGCACAGCTGATTTACATTGATAATTGATTAACAGGCTTTTGCTAGACTGCAGTCATCAGACTCAGCTGTGCTAAAGCAGAGAAACCTCTAAAACCTGCAGGATGACGGCCCTTGAGGACCGACTTTGGGGATGCCTGAGGTAGATGGTTGGCAAAGAGATATGAGGTATTCTATTGGTTTCAACCTAATTAATGCTCTCTTTGCCCCTTAAGGCAGATGATAATGTCTGGGTCAGATTAAAGTTGTGACATTCAATGCTCAGTGAGGTGATCAGTGGTGGATTTTAGCTAAAGCTACCAAGATTAGAGAAGCTATTAATATCACATGTTTTTGTTTTTTTCCTTTAATGTTTTTCTTATTTTCCTTATTTTGCATCTATGCACTCTATTAGGTTGGTGTTTTGCAAAAGCTACAAATAATATATATGAAAGTTTATGAATTAGAGTGGCAAAATTTTATTAGAACATGAAATTATGATAAGACTTCCAGTATATTTTGATAATGGTAGCGTTTAAGCCACATTTTCCTCACCTTTCTCCTTCTATGTTATTTCAATACCGTCAGAACTCTGCATCGGCATCTTAATTATCTAGAGGTATCCTGAATGTGGAAGTAAATCCCTACAAATTAGCTAAATATATTTATTGACATGTAAACCTGACATGTAAAATGTAAAAGTAGTTATTTGCAGTCGCAATATTGAACACAATCATGCAGCGGAGATAGCTGCCAATATACATTTGCTTTGGATTTTTGCTTTATGCTGTTTTTTGTTTCTTTTATATTTTCAATAAAAACACTTAAATGTTTTTCTTTTTTTTAATAAATCAAATCAGACACTAGTTAACTTAGATTTCAGTACCATTGTGTCCTCTGTTCCTTAACTGTGGAAAGACACCAAAAGTCTGGATAAACGGCCCTTCCCCCTTGTTTTCTGTTTTCCTGAACCTCAACTTATCAGGCCAGACGCCGCACACTGACCCCTAAAAGAGGTACCCAGCCCCCACTGCAGCAGGCAGAGGGGAACAGGGGGGGTAGCAAGTCCTGGATATGAGCGGTGGAATGCGTGCCCTAAGAGGAGCCGCTGGAGAGAAGCAGCAGAGGCTGATAAATCTGGTGGGTGGGGAGAGAAAGTGGGATGGATGCAGGAGGAGTATGCTCAATCAGATGGGTGGGCAGGGGGTAAAAAAGAAGGAGGGCACAGAGAAGTTTGACATACTTAAAACAAAGACCAAAGCATCTGTGAGTTTTAGGGTTTTCATCTTCATCTGAGCACAGAGTCTTAGCAACTAATTTAGACTTGCAACTAGAGGGAAAACAAGATAAAGTGTCTGAGAACAGTGATAGAGGAGAGAAAATCCAAAGGCAGAGCAGAGCAGCAGGAAACCACATTATCACCACATAGATAAGGCTTCATGTGAGGATCTGACTGTAGGAAAACAACTAAAGGAATAAAAAGGAACGCAGCAGAGTCTGTTATCTGCAGTCCTGAAAGGAAGTGAGAAAAAAAGCAACAACCTGGAGGAGGAACAGCAACAGGTCCAAAGGGCCACACAGCACAACGTGAGTACAAGAACTGCTGATTTTTTCTAATTATTACCCATAATGACTTCAAAGTTTAATCATTAAAAAATAAGTTTAAATTGTTGACTGCATTTGAATGTAGAATAAACACATAGGAGTAAATTTGGTCCGAATTGGTCTCATTGAAAGCAAGAACAATAGACACATGATGGCCATCAGCCCCACTAATCCTCTGCATGTTGGCTTCAGAAAGAATTAATATCAAAATATTAACAGCATTTTAAAAGTGCTTTATTAAGGTCATTTAGGCTTTTGCTAAATTAAATACAGATATAAAAAAAAATTAAATGTCAAACAAAAAAATCATATAATGTTATTTTCATATAAAATATTCAACACTATAACAAAGTTAAAACCAAAAAACAAAGCTTTTTTTTTAAAACAAATGTAAAGAGAATTAGAGTTTTTTTGGGGGGGGGGCAAGGGATGTGATCAACTGCCGGATGCCCAACAAATACCAAAAGAAAAATATCTTTTTTTAAATATATATATATATATATATTTTTTTTTTTTTAGAAATTGAAATACGCAATTCCTTCACTTGCTTTTAAGATACGAGTTATTATTCCTGTTCTATTATACTACTTGAACTCAAAAATCAAATAAAACATTGAATACATTTTAAAAAAATGAAAAATAATTAGGCCAACCCCAAAGAAAATCAGAATGAGCAAGGAAAAGGTTGATGGGTACAGAAGCAGCGTTTTAAGCTTCCATTTCAGGTTATATTATATCTAATAGGGCAAACCACAATTTCCTAAATTTTTTATTAAATCAAATCAGTGAAGGTATTTATCAGCATAACATCTCATTCATATGAGCAATATAACCATGTTTTTTTAAGTACTGGATTATATTTGGATAGAATTTCAGGGATATTAATGTCACAAAACAATAATAACAATGCTTAATTTGAACAATTTGATAAACAGTTTTTACATTTTAGACTTCAGTACCTTGATGGATTCTTGTTACACTGAAAAACAGCTGTGACAAAACTGATTTAATCTAAAGCTAAATTTAAAAAATTTTCACCCTCAGGTTAAAATCTTGGCATATTATTAGCAGAAACTGTTATTTAGCTTGTAGGAGGTAAAAGGGGTGGAGGGCCTCCATTTCTCTTTTTTTTTTTTTAGTATGCAGCACAATTGAGTCACCCACACACAAGCATGAGCTCGTACGCACCTTCCTGCCAGTCCTTCCTCTGTGACCTTCCACCCCACAACACTTGGGACAACAATAGACCAGGGGTCTGTTAAAAAACAAGTTACATCATGCTAATATTTTCTAATTAGTCACTCACTCGACCAGATCGGGTTTTGTTTTTTTAGGAAATAGTCAAAGAGATTACGTGGATGTAGTGCAATTCAGTGCAGAAAGGTAGCACCGGCTAAGGAAAGGTAAATATAGTTGCATCTTTTTACGGGAGGTTTCTCTGCATTGCTTAGAGCCCTGCATAGGAAACAGAAACACTCCATGTTAAAGAAGCTTTACCTAAATATTAAACAGCAGATCATAATGTTGGAGGGATGTGAATGGGATTTTTTCAGTAGTTTTGGATCATACAACTGAGGAGCGTTAGGTTCTACATCCATTCATATTTTTTTCATTACAGTCTTTCCATATTTATCGTTTTTCTAAGGCCTCATACAAGTGCCCTACATTTTCAGATCAACGCATTGAAAAATGAACGACTGTAATCATCTTTTAAGGTTCTGCATGGTTAGTCTTCTATCCCATGAACCCCTTTAGGGGTGAAGATATTCTGTACCTAACACTGCTGCTTATCACAAAAATGTATCTCTCTGTCCAAAAGGAGGATATATGCCAACTAAAGAATCTTGGATCAAACCAGAACTATGAGGAAAAGTTTAGTATTAAAGCTTGGAAACATGAACTTTGAAATCAGAGCTGAAGAAGAATTCCAGAAGGTTTCAGATCTACCCGCTGACATCCTTCACTCACAGAAGCAGTTTTAACTGGTCTGTAACTGTAATGGATAATTTTATACATTACATCATTATAAAAGTGTTTTCCAAGTATAATATCCAGAACCAGGAACAATCGTATGGATTTATTAGACACAATCTGAGATATATATATGGGCTGCTCAGTGGCGCAGTGGGTAGCACTGCTGCCTTGCAGCAACAAGGTTGCGGGTTAGATCTTTCTGCATGGAGTTTGCATGTTCTCCCTGACCATTAGTGGGTTCTCTCCGGGTACTCCGGCTTCCTCCCATAGCCCCAAAACATTGGCTTCTCTAAATTCTCCTTAGGTGTGCGTGAATGTTTTTTTGTCCTGTTTGTCTCTGTGTTGCCCTGCCTTGGTCTGACAACCTGTCCAGAGTACCCTGCATAGAGGCGACAGGCATCCAGCATCCCTCACTACCCCACTTGGGATAAAGTGTGTCAGAATATGGATGGATGGATAGATGAAGCTGAAATATTTCAAATCTTTAGTTTCTGTAATTATTATGGTGTAGATATAGGTGCAGGAAAGTATTGATATTAAAATCATGGAGACGCTGGGGATTGAACCCAGGACCTCATACATGCGAAGCATGCGCTCTACCACTGAACTACATCCCCTATGTAAAGTGCATCAATAAAATGTGTAAACGACAGAGTGCTATCGCTATGAGCTACTTTTATAGTCCACTGGAAAAGTATCATTGTGTAAGTTCCCCTAGTATGGAATAACACTGAATTCTTATTTGGAATAGCAATGACACAGAGATCTCCCTTGTATCTTCCATTGTATCTCTCTGTAGTGGGTAGGATCCAATCCAAGTGACAAGAAAAACTGTCCCTGCTCTGACCTCTACGTATTACACCCAACTCTTTTGTTAAACTCAGGGATACAGAATATTTATTCCGGGTGTACTTTTTTATTATAGTATACCCCGTAGCAATCCCTCACAAGTGCATTTGAAGTGCTTTACATGAATGCAACAGTGAAATAGAAGAAAAAGTAATTGAAGATAAAAACACATAAAAGCATGCAGTATAGCAGATAAAACAATTGGACCAAAATCTTAAACTCATAATATATCAGTTAATAGTTTAATTTCAACAGTCAAACCCATTGTTTTCTTAAAAGAATTCAGGCTTGCAGCACTTTAAAAGTCTTCTGAGAGTTTGTTCCAGATAAGTGGAGCATAGGAACATAATGCTGCTTCTCCATGTTTGGTTCTAGATCTGGGTGTACAGAGTAGGCTTGGACTAAAAGACCTGTGTGGTCTGGGAGGTTGAATGTTGATCCAATCAGTGATTTATAGACTAATAGAAGGATTTTAAAGTCTATTATCTGAGCTACAGGGAGCCAGTGGAAGGACTTTAAAGCACTCACTAGTTGGTCGGGGCTCCTTTTACATGAATTACTGCATCAGTGCGGCCCGGCAAGGTGAACGGCCTCTGGAAATGTTGAGGTATTATGAACGCCCAGTTAGTAGAATAAAATGATGTATAAAGATAGAAAAGAAAGAAAAAATGCTTCCCCATAGAGGTTAGTTGAAGGAAATATATAGTGCTTTAAATGGCTCTATTGACTGTAGACTTCAGAAAACCCCAAAACACAAACACCAGCTGTTGACATACCAAGTCACCACTAAAGCCAGGCGTACACTGTGCGATTTTCGAGTTGTGGGAGAATTTTCCGATTGGCCCGACTTTCAGCCTGATCGTGCGTCGTGTGTCGTGTAGTGTACAAGGGGTTACGAGCGGCGATCAGCCTTTCACGACCACCACCTGATCAGGAATCGTGAGGTCGGGAGAATATCAAACATGTTTGATTTTCTCCCGACCGTCGTGGGCAAATCATTCAGGGTGCATTTGCAAAGAAGGATTGTTTTTTTTTATTCCTCCTCTCAGATGTAAACGCAGCAGCATGGCAGGGATACAATGAGTGAAATAAAGCTCCGTCTGCAAAATTGACCGACTACAGCAGCCACGCCCACGTCCTTTTTCCAAATACGTTATCGCCCTTTCTTTCTTGGACCCTCAGCACAAAACTGCACAAATTTACAAGGCAGCACGGTTCACTATAGTGAGCTTAATATCCCCCTTCTCTTTGTTTGGCTTCAGGATAGAGAGCTGCAGAGCAGCTCCATCTCACTGCGAAGCTGAGTCCGACGTGGTTTTTTGTCATGCAGTGTGCGCAGGTAGATCGCATCAGAGTGTCGGTCTGAACATAAATCGTGAGCTGTGAACTCACACTGTACGACTAAACCCTGCGTTTAGTCGTACAGTGTGAGCAGCAGATGCGTGCAACGATTGAAAAGAATCACACACTGTACGCCTGGCTTAACTGTAAAAACTATGGAGAGTTCCCCTAAAATTTTGATTGGATTTTGGTTGTCAATCATCTGAAGGCCGTGATTATCGCTGATATAGTTGCACCTTTTAATACCAAACCTTTTCCTTCACCTCAACCTCTCATGAATATGCATGCTTACAGCACTCTGTGAAGAAACAGCTTCTTGAGCATTAATCTTACTGACCTGTTACTGATACTCATGGAGGGTGTCAGTAACCATCTAGTGGACTTCTGTTAAGACAGCAGCTTTTCCAATGATTCTGTAGGCCATAATATATATATACCCATTACATTGCATTTATACAATGAAAATAATTTAGTTATTTAATGTTCTTTTTTTCTGAGGCATCAAATTTTTAATAGCTGCCAGAATCATCCAAATTCCAAGAGGTGCAATATGTATGAGTAATGGATCTATATGTTTCATATTATGAAATTTGTTGCAAATACATTTTCACAATATTTTAATTGGGTTTTTTATGTATAACTTTCTGCTTACAATGCCTCTCCTTATAGATTATATATCTATTTATCAAAGGGCCAAAATTTATTCATCCTGAGAGGCCATGGGAACAATGGAATTTTTTTTTAGAGATGGTTTTTCAACTTTATACTGTAATGCAATTTGTTGGGTGTCTTTCTCAGTACTGCATAAACAGGAACAAGCATGACAAAGGTACATGAATATCACTGCATTCATACTGTCCTGACATTGAAGAGCCAATGTTAGCTGTGATTACAGCTGCGAGACCCATGGACCAAGTCTTTACCAGTCTTGCAGAAAAAAATTCAGAAAATTCTTCCTTCTTTACAAACTAGCTGAAACTCATTAAGAATGTATGGAGAACATCTGTGAAGAAGTTTACCAGTAACTCTCAGTTGGTTTAAGGCCATTCTAAATCATGCATATGCCTTTAAATAAACCAATCTATTGAAATGTTCCATTGGCAGACCCTCCAACCTTATTTATGGATCTTGTCTTCTACTAGTTGGCATAGGCCTCCTGATTTGGCTCTTTTACTCTTCATCTTCCGCTTCATCTTGGACCCGGCCGTGGAGGCAGCAGCCTCAGCAGAGATTCCACTCTTCCCTCTCCCCAGACACCTCCTCCGGCGCTGCTGGGGGAAGCCAGTGACACAGTCTCTCCAGCTTTTCCGTGGTCGTCCCCTGTGCCTTCTCCCCCTGGAGCTGTTCCAGGCACAGCTCCAGAGGGAGGTGTCCAGCGGCATCTGACAAAGATGTCCAAGCAACTTCAGCTGACTCCTCTCAATGTGGAGGAGAAGCAGCTCTACTCCAAGCCTCTACCAGAGGACTGAGCACCTCACCCTATCACTAAGGGAAAGCTCAGCCATCCTGTAGAGAGAGCTTCTTTCAGCCGCTTGTATCCAGGATCTCGTTCTTTCGTTCATGATCCAGATTTAATAACCATGGTTGAGGGTAGAAATGTAGACTGATAAATCGAAAGCTTTGCCTTATTCACTGAGCTCTCCATTCAAGACAACAGACCGGTGCAACGTCCGCATAATAGTAGCAGCTGCACTGATGCGTGTTTCACCACTCTGCCCAACTGTCTTGGCTCTTTCCATCAAATAACTCTAAGTTGAACAGTTCCTTATGAGAAATGGCTTGTGATAATTTTCATATATAAAAACTTCTCATTATCCTTCTTGACTGGTCTACTGTGTCCCTCGGTCTATATATATTTTTTATATTGTACTTTATGTGGGCAGTCTTACTACTCAGGTGGCTTTTGCAAAAAAAAAATAATTGCACAGATTTTATTCATAGGTATAAAGGCAAAGAGTGTAATTGTTGACTTTTCAAATTTTTACTGCAAAACAAACTGTAACAGTTATGTATTACAATTCACCAAAGTCTTTTTTTGTAACATGTCTAGATGTTAAAAAAGTGAAAGGGTCATTCATTTGCACCGTAAGGCTAAAGCTTGTGTTTGAACTTGGAACAATTACACATGCAGAAAACCAAAACATACACAAACTTTGATGTAAGTTAGCCTTCATCTCTTTATTAAACAAGCTACAAACAGCAATTATGGACCAGTTTCCTTTTGGCCAATCAGCTTGCTGATGCTAATCACCTCCAAGGCAGATTTTGATGCTTCCTTGAAGATACCCTCTTCATGAACCCAAAGTCAAAGAACCTTTGGAAAGAAAAGATGGCTAAACATTTTTTTTTTCTTTACAGTTCGCAATGAGTCTAAGCAGCACTCTTGAGAAGGGGGCCCACCATCAAGCCTTGGATCTTTCTGAGGAGCTACCGCCTCACCTCCACCACCAGTCTAACCACCAGCAGCATCTTCACCATTCCAATTCCATGGCCTCCACCATGGCTGTGGGCGGAGGGAGAGAAACCCCCTCGCGTGTGGTCATACCTCCTCCCTATTCTGCTGCTGAGAACGGAGCTGGAGGTACTGAGGCTCCGCTGGAGCTACGTGGGTCCCTTGACTGCTGGGCCTGCTCTGTGCTGGTGACCGCCCAGAACCTGGTGATCGCTGCCATCAATGCCTGCCTCGCCGCCGTGGTGTTTGGCACCATCCTGACCCCAGCCATAGTAATGGTAGTGTTCGGCTTCCTGTGTCACTCTACGGTAAGACGTGGTAGAGGATGGATGGGAGTGAGGGCTGAAGGATTTAGACTTTTTGGTTTAATTCACTGGGTTGACTTTTATGGATTCCTATCTTTTATTAAAATGTATTTGAGATATTTAATTTGACAAACGGGCTTAAAGAATATTGGCTTTGCAAAAACTCAGTTTTGGTCTACTATGCTTAGAACACCTGGCTTAATAACTGACCCATCCTATTTTGTGGAAGAAATGGGCATACTAAAGTTTTATGCCATTATGCCATAAAATGGTTTATGTCAGATTTGTACAGACCACAACAAAAAGTTGCCCTGTAGCCAGATTATTTTGCCTGAAGATCAAGATTTCTGCATCTCCTGGGATTCTTGGCTACTTGTTAATGCTCCTCTGGACCATCCTGTTACTTTTTACAAGGCTACCAATTTTCTTGGTTGCCACATCAGCCAAACTGACCTACCTTGTATTTACAGCGTCAAAAGTCTGGAAAGGAGCTAGTAGAGATTTTAAAGGTGAGACCAGGACAGAGCTAGCAGATTCAGGGAAACCTGGATAAAACAGGCATGTTCAAAGTCAGTCCTCACAGGCCGCTGTCCTACAGGTTTACCTTGTTTCTCAGCTTCAGCACGGCTGATCATTGCAGTTCAGCACAAGCCTGTAAATCAGCTATCAGTGGAAACCAGCTGTACGGAAGCAAGGATACCTCTAAAACCTGCAGGACAACAGACCCCGAGGACCGACTTTGGACATGCCTGGTTTAGAACCAACTGAATCTGCAGCCAGTTGTTGCATCCAACTCCTTTGGACAAAATAAAGGGCATCATTAAAACTTTGTGGCTGCAGTCCTGACTGTTATGGTTACAGAAAAAGTTCATTCTGGTACAAGGGTAAACTACCACCTCCTATGCTCTGATTGGTCCAATAGTTTTGGACTGGAGAGTTTGAGTCTAACCAGACTGATTTGCACCTTGGATTGCCAGGCTTATTTCTCGGTAAACTCGCAGCTGCTCCATACTATTTCTAGTTCAGATCATGAATTATTCAGAGCTCTGTGAGATGTTAAAGCTTTGTGAGATTTTCTAACACTGTTGTTAACAACCGCACATGCTGTTTGTTCATTAATGTTTTTAAACAATCCTCTGATATATTCAAAGGACAGCCTGATTCATACTGGGATTACATTATAAAAAGAGAGACTCCAAGGGAGGGGGTTTGGGCATCCCTTTATGATACATCTAAAAGGGCTGATCTCATAACTTTGATCCAGAGGTTGGATAGTTTTCCTTGAGGCGGAGGGTTGAGTTTGGCTCCATCTCTGATAAGAGATCTTATAATCAGAGAGATCTGAAGCTCCCCCAGAGGGTGGTAAGGAGTCTAAAGACATACTTCTTGTTAGTTTCTTAGGGATTCCAAATATTATGTGACACCATGTATGATTTGTATCTATGCATTAATGAGATATATAACTACAGCTTATTAAAAAAAGGGCAACACATGTCCCTCATAACCATCCTTGATTGGATAAAAACTTTCTCCAAGGTAGCTGGTTTTCTTCAGGAAACTGCTATTTTCTTCTTAAGTCGTTGAGCCGTTCTCATGTTCTCTGACAAAAAGACCTCATGTGACAGCAGATTAGAGGCGGATTAACCAGCCTTTGGCATGCTAAAAGAATGAGACAAATCAAAAGAAATGAAAATCCTATGACTCAAACTGAACCAGAGGCAAAAAAAACCCTCACATTACTTTTGCTGTTCAGATACTGTTGTTTAAATAAAGTTAACAAGTTTCAAGTTATGACAAAAATAACAACATTAAAAGGACTTGCTTTTTAATATGCTTTTTTTCAATAATAAAAAAAAAAATTAATCCCAAATCCAGACAAAAAATCACAACAGATTGGGGACTTAAAAAACAATTGATTGTGTGTGAAAACTTCATAGACCACTGCTGCTTCCATAGGAGCCATTGTAAATGCCAGCAGCTAATCTACCCTCCTTATTGATTAAACATAATCAGAGTGAGCACCACTGTAAATGTAGGATCTTTTATCACTCTGTTGCATTCAACGGCATTTTAACAAAACACCAGATGGGAAGTAAAACATCAAAAACAACTTAGAGATGCTATTTCTGCAGCCCTTGAATCGATGACATTCATAAATAATTCAAACAAATCATTTTTAAATGATGATACGTAAATACTTATGTAGTGGGAAACATTTAAGACAAATGTTAATCTTCCCCTGCATGCATGTCTCCATCTTTTTAAAATAATGGGGTGTAATTAGCTTTTTCCAGTGACGGTGCTGAAATGATGCATAGAAAAACTTTTTATTCATCAATTCTGCAATCAAATATCCAATCTAATGTTAAGCACTTAAAACGTTTGATCTTTTCCTTAAAAACATGTTGATTCGGCCGCTCCTAACATTCCAGCTTTGTCCCACATGGATTTGTTTTGTTTTTGCAGCCTGATGATTCCCTGTTCGACCTACTCTGCTATCTTCCCATGTGAATAGAAATGCAGCATTTGGAATCGATCTAAGAAATTTTAACCCTCTGCCTGCAATGGAGAAGCCCACACAAGTTAGCAAAATTCAAATCAAGTCTACAGATTGGCCCGCTATAGAGAACATGAGCTGCTCCAGCTACAAATTTTAAGTTATAAATCTGAGCCTATTCCTTGATTTGGATAATATCTGGTCTTTGTGTGCTTGTATTTGTTTTATAACTTCATGTCATTTAAAAGGAAAGAAGCTTCATGATTAAATTTTTTTCTCATTTCACTTTTTGGGGAGTGTAGGCCTAGTGATTAGGGCATAGAGCTTGGAATCCTGAGGTTCTGAGTTCGACCCCCACTCCCACAGACTGCCACTCTGGGTCACTGAGAAAAGACCCTTAACCGCACACTGCTCAATGGGTGCCGCACGATGGCAGCCCACTGCTCCCCAAGGGGATGGGTCAAATGCAGTGAGTTCATTCCGTTGCTCTGCAGTTGTGACAGTGTAATGACGATGAAACACTGGAAAAAATTATTTTAATTACGACAGATGTTTTTAAACTGCGCTCCCGAGGGTCTACAAACTGTTTCTACTCTCTGCACCTTGTTTAGACACTAAAGCATTGGTCTCTGGAAGGCCGATAAGGATGATTCAGGCCATCTGTCTCTCAGTTCCTCCCACATTCAAATCACGATCCTTCACCCCGTCACCCACTCCCTCCATTATGGCTCTCCCACCAGGCTTTAACATACAGCATGTGCTGTCGAAAGTTCAGGAAAACAAGGACTGAAATCAACACTCATAAAGTTTAAACCAAGTTGATTGTTTTTTAGGGAAAAGGATTGTATATTTGTTAGGACTATGCTGATGCATGTTAGCATTTTATTTTAGAGAAACCAGTGCCTGTCTGCACCTTGTACATACCATGCAGACTGCGTCATCTCCTGCTTTTATCTGCGACCTCCTCTGCTATACAAAATGCTGTGCAAAGGTCTCCAGACAACCCTCATTTATTTATATTTTCATTCCAAGCACATTGACTTTGATGGGATCATTTGGTGTGGTCTTGGCTTATAGTTTTTAGTCCTTTAAAGATCTTCTTCTGACTTTAGCTGTTTTTACTGTGTTCTAATTAATAATTTTGCCGTTTGATAAACTGTTTCCCAGTCAATCCTAAGCAATAAATCAAGAAAAAACGGCTCCAGTATCGAAGGGCTGTAGTGGAGTTTAACAATATAAAATAATAGTGCCCTGATGACAGATCTAGGCTTGTCCCGATCCGATCCACGTATCGGATCGGGACGCTGATATTGGCAAAAAAATGCGTATCGGCAAAGCATGTAAAATGCCGATCCAGACTGCCGATCCAGTTTTAAAAAAAAATCCGATCCGTATTTTCCAGTTTCGCCGATTGAAACGATCCATTCCACTATTTTGGGCCAGTGTTTCCCTGTTTTGCATTTTTATTAAAATTTACAGTAATACTTGCACCTTTAACTGTTTACGGTTTTACTGTTCACTGTGCAATTTCAGATTGCTATTCATAATTTTGTCCAGTTTGTGTTTATCTCTTAATAAACAGGTAAGTTTGTTGTTACCAAGCATTGTGTTTTATTCAATCTCACCTAATTTAGCTGGCTAGATGTTATCAAGAGTACTAAAACCCTTTTCAACATGAGTCTTACAACTAAGGCTAAATACTTTAACTTAAACTTAAATACATGCTCGGATAGGCTGGTATCGGCCAGTATCGGTATCGGATCGGAAGTCCAAAAACAATATCGGTATCGGATCGGAAGTGCAAAAACCTGGATCGGGACATCTCTAGACAGATCCCCAGTTTAATAGCTTTAAAGTTTTGTTTAATCTGTTGAAATTTGCAAAAAAAAGGATTACTGCATTAAATTAAAACTATGAAAACACCATCAACACCAATAAAAGAAATAGTTTTGGAATATTTAGTTGATCATTTCCACATAAAGCGTTATTTTTATGGAGTTATTTTATTATTTATTTATTTTTTTTTGCATTTTATATTGTTTAATAAGACCCATTGTTAATAAAGGTAGAATCAATGCATATTTATAAAAAGGTTCCTGCTGCTGGGAAGTATTTAAAAACAATCTAAAAACAGCTAAAAATGTATTTAATTAAATCAATTTATCTTTAATTTAAGCTGGTCATTAAGATAATCAGCCATTGGAATGAGCGTATTCCCTTAAAATAATATATCTATAAAGCTTTTGAAATATTTATCTTATTTTATATATAAACCATCTTATTCCATTGGCAAATTGTCTTACTTGCTCAAATAAAGTTAAAATACGCTAGCTTTGTTACATTCAGTTTTTTTTTTATTGCAGTAGCCCAAAGCATGCTAAAATGAAACTGCAAACATCTAATTTCCTTGTATCTGTCTGCAGAGCATAGCACATGGTACTTCTTGCATTAAAGCTGCTTCCGATGTTTTTACGAATGATGATAACCAATTATAATACATTTGACACCTATTCTCATTAAAAATCAGGCTGCAGACTAAATAAACATTAAGACTGTTTTCTTCAGGCCTCTACTGTGAAGATTATACAAAATCTTGTGTTGAAGTTTAACTGATAGTTCGGAAGCTTTTAGCGTTGTAAATTTTCATTGAGGCATTACAAACTCCAGTATTTCGTTTTATATTGCTGCTTTTTTTTCATTAAAAGCAACGTTTTTTGGCCATATTTCCAGCAGCCCAATAAATCTGGTAAATTAAGCAGACAAATCAGAGCATTCTGATGACCACTTAGACTTAGACTTTGCTTACAACACTAAAATGCGTATTACTATTTATAAAGCACTGGGATGAAATCCCTTAATGGCAGACACCTACATCCGCATACATCTTGCTAAAAGTTAACACTCTTTGCATCAATGGGAAGGACAAAAACTTCTCAAAGGGCTTCCTTACACCGTTATAAACTCTTATCTATTACTTTAACAGCCGTTGCTATTTGGTGGTTAAAATATCCTCTTTACCTAAACTACCTAACGATTCCTAACCAGGCCTTTATTTATAGTTTTTTTTATCAACATATTCATCAAATGCCGTCTTAATATGCAGTAATAAAACATCAGAAGTTTCATTATTTATTAATTGTTTTATCCAAACTTACAAAAAAACACATTTCAAACTGAAGATTTAGACACTTTGTTTAGAGCAGGTTGCAACATATATATTTTGCTGAATCTATAATAACTACTGAAGAACAAACACACTCTGATAGACTAATAAAGCTTAAGGAGATAAAAAAAATTTCTAAAGCAAAGAAACGGAAGATGCTTTAAAATGTTTGCACAGTAGCTGTGGCCCAACCTTTGACCTCACCGCCGTCTTCCTGATCTCACCTCTGCAGGTTCGTCCCCACGGAACGACCCCCTACTGCTCGGACCTGCTCACCGACGGAGGCTGCGTGGCCCTGCTGGTGGTGGGCTTCCTCCTGGTCACTCCTCTGCTGGTTCTGGCGTTGGCTGCGTACTGCCGCCTAGCCCGACACCTCCAGCTGGGCTTGTGTTTCATCCCATACAGCAGGGCCGTGTACAAGAACCTGCCGCCCAGCCAGCACCGTGGCCTGGGCACCGGCTGCTGCTCCGGCGGCAGAGATGGAGGCGAGAGCGGAGGGAAGGGAAAGGTTTGGGTGTGAGAGGGGGAGAGGAATGGTGAGAAAAAGATGGAGATGAAGAAGATAAAACATAAAAGGGAAGCAGAGAGAGAGAGGAGAAAAAAATTATTCAGAAACATGAAGCGATATCAAACTAAAGTAACACAGAGATTATATGATGAATGGTAATGCAGGTCAATCAGGTGTGCATGTGTGTGTGGAAGATACTTCACTGTTTCTATTGATCTGGAACTGGAGCTTCTTCACTTTGACTATTTACATTTATTAAAAGCTTAACTTAGTTAATCTTAGTAACAAATCCTGTCTGTTACAGTAGATTAGATTAAAAGTAAAAGCTTTAAAAATGTGCGTCTGATTGAATCTCAAATCGCCATATTAGCCGGACATGCAGCCGTCTCAACTTTCCTGAATAAATCGCAGGAAGAGGAAATCTGAAAATAGAGCTGTGTAATGACACAGAGCATATTTGTTTCCTATCACATTTATATTGTCAAGGAAAACTTGTTCCTGTGAAGTGAAGTTTATTGTTTACCACTGTGAACTTTGCTTGCATCATTTCCTTTTTTTTATATAAATAAAGTTCTTGGATTTTTCCCGAGTTGTTTGTCTTTTAACCGGTGTGTGTTGCTGACTTAATGAAACGCTTTTGTTGGATAAAAAGAAGAGGTTAACAGGAGTCCAGACTAGAAGATCATAGATCCGAAGAGGTACCGCAGGGAAATCGCAGTCAGGAGGCAGATCCAGGTTCAGTCCGCTGGAATCCGAAGACAGGTCAGGCAAGCAAATCCGAAACAGGAACAGGCAGACTCAAAGGTCAGAGCGCAGAACTGGTCAGGATCAGGCAATCAGAACAACAACAGGTACAGTACGCTAGAGAACTCTCACTTAAGCCTCGAATAATTTCGCACTGATGACTGGGAACAAGCAGCTTAAATAGAGGCAGGAGCTGCTTGTTATGAATGTTAAGCAACTGGATGTGAGGATCTTTCCTGTGGAAAGCTTAAAGTATGTCATATTGGCTACAGGAAATAAATAAACAGTAATTAATAAAATTTAAGATATCTATAAAAAAAAAAAAAAAAAACTCCACTAAATTCAAATAAGGGGTGACGTTGACAGAGGAAAACTTTCTCACAAAGGGCAGCAGGCAGGTAGAAGGGTTTCTCCACACATATTTATGATGACTCATTCCACTCTGTGGCCTCACTCCTAAATACGACCACAGCTAACGACTGTTTGAGTTTTCTATTGATTATTCTGACAATTTATGATGTAAAAGTAATTTTAAATCTCAGCACATTCTGCAGACTTTTTTCTTTTAGATTATATTATTCTCGCTGACTTGTCAAAATTGCCAGCTGATGACTATGTGGTGAAAATACTCCCAAAAAGTACATAAAGTGGGACTTTCATGATATATTATAGAGTTTAAAAGAGCAATATTCATTAAAACAAAAACATGTTCTACAAGCCTGGTTGTGTACTTTAAATTAAACTTGCAATCCCTTTGTTTTCTTTTTTTAAGATGGAAAAATAGTCTCAGAGAAATTTCTTCTAAAAGTTTAAGTTTGCCATTTGTTCTCAGTGGGTGGCTCTTTTTATGTTTTACAGTCAGTGTGCCCCAGTTAATTTTTAAAAGATAACTAAATTAGTCAACTATTTCAATAATCAACATATTATATCTCAAAACTCTGCCCAAATGAATGAACATAGGTAAAAATCGGTATTCAAATATTTATATATATATATATAAATATATATATATATATATATATATATATATATATATATATATATATATATATATATATATATATATATATATATATATATATATATATATATATATATATATATATATAAATAAATTCAGGGACAATTTAGAAGGCTTGTTCTCCAGCATGATATAGAACAAGACAAAGAAGAATCTGATTACGTGCAGTTTGGCAATGTCTTAAAATGACATAGCTGTTCCAAATATGAATTTATAAGTAACTAGCTTAAAGTTTAATTAGTAAATAATCCGAAATTCAGCTGTTGCCTCCCTCAAGTGGTAAAAACCAGAATCACAACGGCAACCAAGATTAGACCTGGAAGAAAAAGGCTGCACATTAGTATTTCAATTCACTTCAGTATATTTATATAGTGCCATTTCACAACACATGTCATCTCAAGGCACTTTACAGTTCACCAGATCATACAGTCAAATTCATTCAAAGTGTTCTATCTAAGGAAAACCAGTTAACTGCATCAACTCATTGACTCCAATACAATCCCTCACACTAAGCATGCTTGTAGCGACAGTGGAGAGGAAAAACTCCCTTTTAACAGGAAGAAACCTCCAGCCAAACCAGAGTCAGTGTGAGCGGCCATCTGCCGAGGCCGACTGGGGTTGAAGGAGACAGAAGCAGAGATACAGAAAGCAACTGCAAAAGGCGGCCTCATCCAGGAAACCCACAGCCAGGCAGACGTGCACCGAGCCAGCTCCCATGACAGAGGATAAAGAGAGCACATCCAGCCAGTCACAGTCAGAGAAACAGGACTACACTGCAAAAACAGGCTGCTCTCAAACATCTAAAAAACAAAGATGTTGATGGTAGCAGCACAGCTGATATTCATCTCTCCAAGATGGTGTCACAGCCAAACAGGAACAGACGAGTAGAGAACATGTGCATGTTTATGTCTTTCTTATATCTAAAAACCCTTAAAGCAGCAAGAAGAAATCACTGGTTGCTGATAGGCCCTTGGTGGTACACAGGGTTGTGAAGTCACCAGTCGCCATATTGGTACTCCCTAGTTAGACCGGTCGGAATGTAAACAATACGTGCGCTACAAAACAAAGATACATTTCTCACTTTGACACACACTTGCTGTTTCATTGCAATAAAATGAGTCTGTCAGTGGAGCATAATAATACTGTAGTCAGATATTAAGAATATTACACACCCACTATCTGATGATGCGCCAAACGTCCTAAATTGTTGATGTACATGTTACATACATGTATTGATTACATAGTTATGGTAAGTACATTACAAATAGGCATTTTTATGGTGTGACTCCTTGAAAGTGGGGAGTACCAAGATGGCGAAAATGTGACTTTGTTCTTTCGGGCTATCAGCCATCCAGTGAATAAATAGAGATCAATGCAAGAAAGGCCATTCAAATTTATGTTAGTTCTGTCTGTGAATCTGTATTATTATCAATTAAATGCCTCCAAAAAATTTTCTTAGCTTTCATTTTGATGATTTGCAATTATTACAGTTGGTGTTGTTTTTATTTCCAATCCTGACACCCTGTCTGAGATAATGCTGAAAAGGAACATATAGGTTTCTCTATATTTACAAGTTGAAGGAAAGTCGGCAGTAGATTGCTGACTGTTTTCTATCTGTTATTGTTCTTCAAATAAACATCATATCTGACTTTTCCCCAATGGGGATAATTAAGTTTACAGAGTCATACTCTCACTTATTATAGAGAAGCTAATAAATAACCATTGCTCATAAACTGATGGAAACCTGTGAATTGGCGCCCTCTGGTGGACATTTGAAGATGTGTCACACCAACGTTGAGTTCTATGGTTTAGGATCTAAGGATCTCTACGGGGTTTTTTTCTGTCATTTTTTTAAATACATGAATACATTTTTCCAGAGGTACTTTAATCAATAAAACCAGCATAATTAGGGCCCTTATAAAAGCATTGATATCGAATAAGACCAATATCTATCTATCTATCTATCTATCTATCTATCTATCTATCTATCTATCTATCTATCTATCTATCTATCTATCTATCTATCTATCTATCTATCTATCTATCTATCTATCTATCTATCTGAAAAATCTTCCATGCTTTTTTTGGGCTTTGTTTTTTTAAACAATGTAAAAACAATTTTAAGCACATATATATTCAAATATATGTTATATTATATTTGATCCAGATAAGATAAATATGATAAAAACTATACCTCTATAGCTAGATAGTCACATACTCTGTATAAAATATATATGCTGTATATATGGACTTATTTTAGGTGAAGTAAGACGATTAACAGGATTTCTGACCGATTACCAAAGTAATGTAGAGTAACAGATTGTTTTGAGAAAATTCCCAAACAATTACTTAATATTTGGCGGAATTGCCTTTTAAACTATATATTATGGATGTTCTTCCATGAACTTCTCATCACAGTTTGCTGGAATTGAAATGTGTCAGATTTTTAAGCTCGGGCTTTTACAAAATATCATTATGTGTTCATACAAAGTTTCTATTATATTGAGAGCAGCAATTTATGATGGCTCTCGAAAACATGGAGTTTGCTGTTCATTAAAGTTGAAATATTCATATATTGGATGTATGCTTAGAGTTATTGTCCAAGTAGGACCCATTTATTACCTATCCTAAACATCATGGCTTATATTCTCAGATGAAACTTTAATATTTTTCCCACAAATATATTTTTCATCCTGATGCTTCTACATGAGAGCCACCACATAATATGATGCTGCCATCCTCATACCAATTGTTAGGCTATTTCCGGGCCTCATGGCTTCCTTCTTTCTATTCTAAATGTGATAATGACCATTATATCCAAATAGCATGATTTTCATTCGATTGATCCAAAGCTGCTGTCAACAAAATAAAAGTTTTTTTTTTTCCTGAGTAAAAAAAAAAGAGACTGTAATCTATTTTTTTTCATGCGACCTTTGGAGAACCGGCCTCTTCCTTTCTGAGCGTGGCTGCACATGACTGGTTTGCCTGAGCCTAACTGCATCCTACCACCTTCAGTCAGCACCTTCTCAAGGTTTTTAGTTTTTGTTTTAGAGTTCACATCCGGTTGAAATGTCTTTGCTTCACAATCCTCTACTAGCTGTGATTATCTCATTTGCATGCTTTTCAGCCACGTCTTCCTTCCATTTAACTTTCCATCAATATGCAGCTTTACAGGCCATTATAAACAGCCAGCTTCATAGTAGTGAACTTTTTGAGGCTTACTAATTGTTATTGATTATTTGTTCAGCAGCTATGATGTTCCCAGTTTCCATCTCCATGGTTGCATAGTTTATATAATGTGTTGGAACGTTTTCATCTGTGTTATGTAATATCTCATTTTAGGGCTCATAATGATAAAATTAATAGAAATTATTGTTTGAGCAGTTATAGAGAACTCAATAAATCTGCATAATATTGTTCAGTGGAGATCTGAGAATGAGAATTATTACACGTGGGGAAATAATTTGTAGATTTTCTACAAATCAATAGAAACAGACTGCTTTCCATTTAGAAAATCACAATATCTCCTTGAAAGAAGTTCATTCTTAGAGCAAGACAAAGATTTGACTCTGTGAACTGCAAAGATTGGCTAAAATGAAGAGATTTAAATTAACTCTAGGATTTCTAGGAAGATGAGGGATTGAAGGTCCTGGGAAGATTATGCAATAGACTTACTGATGTCTGCAAAAAAATAAATAAATAAAAAAATAAACTTTTGGTGGATATCAGCAGAGAAAAAAATCACTAATGTAATTCCTAATTAGACCAAGGTTTTTTTCTCATTCACTAAAATAAAGAAGAAAGAGGACAGGTTTCCAGACAAATTACTATGTTTATTTAATTTGTTTGTTTTTTTGATAGCAGGGCTTAAAGCAACTCATAAAGGTCTTTTTTTCCTTATTTTAAAAGGCACCAACAAATGTAGGATGAATCAGAATGGATACACAGAGTTGGAGGATGTAAGGATGTTGCTGTTGCACAGTTTGCTTCCTGACTGTTTAGCCAGGTAATCCTGCATTAAGCCTCTCTAAAGGTGATGGGTCAAAGAGGAGGACAGGGAGCATGTCTAACAGGAACTAGTCTCTGAAACAATTTAGGATCAAGAGGGACAAAGAAGTCCTCTGCTGCTGCGTCTCAGCTTCCTCTGCTTTTCCAAACATTAAGTCAGATATTGAAGGTGTGCAAACTGCAGTGATTATCCAGGTTTCAGTTGTTTTCATACTAAGTATCTGCTGTTAATGTCATGATCTTCTGTTTGTAGCATGCTCAAAGCAGAAGAGGGGACGTCCTCTACAACCTCTGTAGACTCAGCCTTAACAGACAGGTAGGCTTCTACTTTTACAGATAATCTAATTTAGGATAATACAGATCTATAATTACTTATAATAGTTATATATCATTTGTGAGTTCAAGCAACTTTATTTTAATGTTTTGTTTTCTTTAATATTTTAGCAAAGATGGTGGGTCGAAAGCTGGAACAGCCCCAAACTCTCCATCAGGTTCAGTTTCTGAATCACCTAAGAAATCCTTCAAGAAAGTCAAGAAAAGCACAGAGAGCATGAATAAAGTCTACAACTCCATTCTGAACAGTATTTTTGGAGCCGTAAGTATCTGACGGACGCTGCAGAAGAAAATGATCCAGTTAATAGCAATGCTGTCACAACAAACGTTCTATTCTGAGTTAAATATTCTTATCCTCAAACAAGAGCTTAAACAAAATATATATTTTGAAACATTCTAGATAGCATTGGTGGCTGTAGTTTAATCATCTCTGAATGTCTCGATCCTTCTGAAGCTGCTGGCTGTGAGCCTGCAGCGTGCTGCATTAGTGGCTCTGTGACCACAGCTTAATGTCACACTTTGTTAAGGTTATCCGCCAGGAAAGTACTCAAACATCAGTTGTTTGTTGTATTGAAAAAATGTCTTATCTATGTTATTGTCATTTTGCAAAAAGTATGCAGGAACCTCTTAAGATTCTGAGAACAGTTGGACAACAACTAGTGGCAACTGGTTAAAGAAGCATAAGAAAATAAATTCATCACTAGTTGGAGGAATACAAACACAGACTGGAAATTTAACTGTATTTATTTAATTGTAATATTTGTAATATAATAAAAAAATGCATTTAATCAGGGACTTATAATTAATTAGTAATTCACAACTTTCTGTTTGCCTGGGGAATAGACATCGGCAGTTCTAGACCAAATGAACCAGGGGGCCAGGAGGGGGCCAGCGTGTTGGGGGTCTAAAAAAGCATGAAATAAAAAACAGGGCAAGGAATTTAAATATTATATATCTTATTAGGTCAATAAACATTCATAATTTAGGAATTTTACATTAATTTAACTTAAATTTACCATTTACAATAAAATCTAAATTAGAACTCAAGAAAAACTGACAAATTCATCTGTAAAAGTTAGAGTATTATGTCATTTGTTTTGAAAAAAAAAACATTTAGCAGATGAAAACTGGAATCCTATCTCAATCCCACTGAAGCTATCACTTTATTGTTTTTAAATAAATAGTAAAACAGAATTTGTAAAGAAAAAAAAAAAAATAAATCCAAAGAAACTATCAGGAACCATGTCTGTTCCAGCGCATATCATCATTAGAATTTCTTTCAGTATTATGTCTTCAGTCCAGGAGCCATAACAGGTGCCAGGACATGATCTACAGGGGCCCTGGCCCCCGTTGGCCCCTGTCTAGAATCACCCATGGGAATAGATATGACCTGAAAACGAAGCCCATGTGTTTTTGAAACTCTTTGAAGTTAAAATAAAGAAAAGTTGCTTTTTGAGCAAAGAAGGTGTATTTTAATCTGCATCTAGAAATTATTTGAAAAGAAAAAGTTATTATAAATACAGCCCCCCCCTTACAGTGGCCTACAAATGCAAATGAAATAAACACAGAAACATGCTGCAAATGCATTAATAATGCCCACTCATATAAACAAAACTTTATTTTTGTATCTTTTTCCATCTTAAAAGAAGAAAACAAACAAAGTGTAAAGTACACAAACAGGCTTATAAATGTTTTTGTTATATCTAATATTTCTTTTTCAAAATCCATAATATACCATGAAAGTCACACTTTATGTACTTTTTGGGAGCATTTTCACCACTGAGTCGTCAGTTGGCAAAGTTTTGACAAATCAGCGAGAAAAGACTGAGCTTTTCACACAGAATTTATTTTTTGTCTTTTTTTTATGCTTTGCTCTTTTTTTTAATATAATGAATTTGATTGTTAAATTGCATGTTGATTTTTTTTTGCTGGAATTGATGATATAAAATATTCTTTAATAGTTAAAAGAAATGTCTGCAGAAGGTGCTGAATTTTAAAATGAGTTTTACATTATAAATTGTCAGAAAAATCAATTGAAAACTCAATCACTCAAACAGTCGTTAGCTGTGGTCGTAGTTATGAATGAGGCCACTGAGTGGAATGAGAGTAATCATAAAAATGTTGCTTCCTTGTCATTATTGTCCAGCATATCTGGTAACTTTCATCGTTTCCTCTTGACACATAATGCTGTAAATTTGGTTCATCAGAGAAAGTAGCTTTATCTCAGTCTTCTGTTTTCCACAGCTGCATAAGTGGTGCAATCACTAAGGCAAAAAAAAGCTGCAAACACAACACAGATGCCTACAGGCTACAGAGATGAAGAATATTTTCATAGCAGCCTAGTTTTCTCTGGTCTAGATTACCTGGAGAATTCAATATAACACTACTAAAAACAATGTTGCTCAAACAATTATGTCAAAAAAAGGAAAATCTTCATTTGTTCTTCTACAAAGCAAAATTGTAATTTCTTTCAAATAAAAAAAAAATATTTGCACCTCCAAAAAATAAGTACATAAAATTTAGATAAAAAAATAAATAAAACAGTCAATTTCATAAACAAGGGTGGAGCCAAGTTTATGTTGCCTAATGTTGCCCTAATTTAAATTTTGATAAAATCTGTAGTGTATATGACAGCAAAAAAAATAACTCATTTAAATACGGATTTTAACCTATTGTACATAATGGTTAAAGGTTAGGATTGAAGCACCATTGATATATAAACAATGTTTCCCTTTTTCTCAGGAAAGAGATCTGGCTCAGGCTGAGCTTGATGGTGAGTCGTGTCTCTTTAATATTTATATCAGTAATAAGAACTTCTTGCATAATATGAGCTGAATTTGCCAGTTAAAGAATCGTAGATGCTTTGAAGATTCTCTGAAACTTCACAGAGTTGCAAGAAGCCTTCAAGGAGTTTGACTATGACCAGGACGGGTACCTGAACTACAAAGACGTGGCTGAATGCATGAGAACCATGGGATACATGCCCACTGAGATGGAGCTGCTGGAGATCGTACAACAGATCAAGATGAGAAGTGAGTCTGAGGAGAAAAAATTCATTTACATTAAAGATCCGTGGAGATTTTTTAAAACTTTCTAAACCTTCTTAGCTCCGCCAATGTCTTTGAAAGTGATTTAAAAGGTTTTCCTTTGTAGTAAGACTGTTAATTTGTTCCGTTTCATTCCGCTTACATTAAAAGTTGGTGGTTTGATCCAGGAATCCTGTTGCTTTCTATTTAAGCACATTTCAACAGGAGGTTGGAACTCTACTATGCTGGGAGGTCTTGCAAAATAATGAAGCCATTTTAATCCTCTTCTATGGTTTGCAGAGAATTTGATGCATTCATAAAGTGTAGGACCAAATTCCCAATCGGAACCTGAGCAGCACACTGCAAAAAAACGAAATCTAGATGAGTCATATTCTTCTTAAAATAAGTACATTTTTCTTGGATTGAGGAGGTTAAAGAGATGTTTTGCCAATGGAACAAGACAATTTACACTTAAAATAAGAAAACACAACTACATTGTCTTATTTTAAGTGCATATTATCTACTTATCTTATTTTAAGAGTAAACATTCTCATTCCATTGGCAAATTATCTCATTTACCTTCTCAAATTAAGGAAAAATACACTTAATTTAAGAAATTTTTACTTATTTCTAGATCGTTTTTGCAGTGCAGCTGGTTCTGTCATTATTTCAGTCAGATGCATAATAATTGAGGTGCAAAAATAATCTGCCTTCAACCCTTTTTTAAGCATGGGGCAGCCATTTTGAGATTCTTCAACCGTCCTGCGCTATAAACATAAAACACGTTTAAATCAGAGGCAATTGGACTTTCGCTCAAGTTCTTTCTAAAGACATTTCGACACCTATCCACAGATCTTTATCAATTCTGTTGCCTCGAACCAGAGCGATCTGTAGTTGGAGCACCGATGTGTTTCAGCATGAAGTTCCATTCTCCAAGTAACTTTCCAAGTCAGATGATCCAACTGTTTTCTGAAGTTTGTGTGTCTGGGTTATGCATTAGTCCAATTTAAATGATAATTATGAGTGTGCTAATTCAATTTTTGTGGAAACAATTAAAAAAAGTCTGGCTGCCTCTAATTTAAGCCAATGTTTTATTGTTGCCATGACAACCGGGCATCTCTTACTTTATATTTGGGAGTCTTTATCTTTGTCCTTTTCTGCTTGAAAAGTATAAAACATAGATCTGTTGGATCAAATAGAGACTAAATCAATGCTGAACATACTGTAAGATCATGTATTTAAACAGAGCTGCATTAAGCTGCGGTAGATCCTTATCAGCTTATTAAAGCTGACCAATCAGAGCAGACCTTTCTTTTTTGGGGAAGTGGGCCATTTTTTCATAATATATATTTTTTTCTTAGATTATTTTATTCAATTATTATTTATTTATTTTATTACATTATTTATAAGATTATTATGGTTTGAGCGAAAAACATGAAATGTAGCTAAAAATGTATCTTTTAGTATCTTTAACTGAACAAATGCTATTTAATTTTCCTTTATTAGGTTTGCTAAAATAATCAGACCTAGGATTTTATTATTTTTTAAATTTGTATCGAGTCATTTTTTAAATATGTATATAACCAAGATATTATTAAAAGTTTGTTGATCTGACAATATTTTAAAATGTATTTCATAAAATCAAAGATATTGTTAAAAAAAGAAATTCTGATGAATTATAATAAAATTGATTCAGCCAAGTTAAATGTTTTTAATTCAATGAAGTTTTTCAATAAATCTGTCAATAAAATGAAACCAAGGAGCTAAAAAAGAGTTAAATAAATATTTCATTCATTAAATCTGTCCATTAAATATAAACATTTGATCATTTTTTAAAATTCCTTTTATTAAAATGTATGACCTAAACTAAATAAAGAATTTAACTAATTAATTACAATAATATCACCATGATTCTAGAAGGCTACCCCTGTAGATTGGTAATAAAGAGTTTATAGGTCATGGGTTATATTACTTTATCTACATACATAATCAGTGTTGTATAAAGTACTGAAATCTCGGAGTCAAGTAAAAGTATAACTACCTCTCCAAAATATGACTTTGGTAAAAGTCCAAGTCACTGACTGAAATGTTACTTGAGTAAAAGTCTTAAAGTATCTGAAATGGCTTGTATTTAAGTATAAGAATTACTGTAAAAAAAGATGTACTCAAGTAATTTAGTGAAAAGTATAAGTAAAAAGTAAGTGCAGTTTGAATGACATTTTTTTTTACATTTTGGTAAACTTTGAAGGTTAAATTCACTTAAAATAATATACACAACCAAGTGTAGGATACATTTAGACTGGCTTTGTGAATAAGACATAACCTATTGGTGTTGATGAACAAGCCCAGGCAAGACCCGACTTTGTAGTCAGTAGGTGGGGTCAAAACTCGTGCGTTTCTATCACTGTTTTTTTTTTACTTAGTAACTAAACCAAACACTGAAAATGTATCAGAGTAAAACTATGCGATTAAGTTTGTAAATGTAGTGAAGTAAAAGTGAAAGTTCCCCAAAAAATGTATACTCTTGGGAAGTATAAAGTACTCCAAAATATACTTAAGAACAGTAGTGAAGTATTTTTACTTCGTTACTATTGAACACTGCACATAATTTATATGTTTTTTTTTATACAATATACACATTATGCATGCTAAAAAAATGTTTTTTTGCTTACAAACTCTAGGAAAAAAATGCTTCTTTTTTTAATCTCTTACCCTTAAGTAATGCAAGAGAAAAAAAATGTATGAATGAGTTTAAAAGTTGTCAGGTTAATTAATAGCTTATCTAAAAATTATTTATTAGCCTTATTATAAAGCTGTAGCCACTTTACAATAAGGCTTACAAAAAGGGGCAAAGCAGACTCTACTGACTGAGTGTTTTATTATTTATCTAATTTTATGTTTTTTATCCTATTTTATATGTTTTTATCTTCGCTATCAGGCAGGTGAATTGGGGATTAATAAAGTATCTATCTATCCATCTATCTATCTATCTATCTATCTATCTATCTATCTATCTATCTATCTATCTATCTATCTATCTATCTATCTATCTATCTATCTGATTGAATTTTGCAGATCAGATTTGGTATAATCATGTCATTTAGCTAACTGATCCCCTGGCTCTCCTTTAGTGGGCGGTTTAATGGACTTTGAGGATTTCATTGAACTGATGGGGCCGCGGATGATGGGGGAAACCACAAACATGATGGGACTCAAAGAGCTCAAGTCAGCCTTTCTACAGGTCAGCTAGAGGGAACATTATTCTAACTGGAATTTCATTGGACCTTAAAAAATACACCTTTTTATTTGAATGGAAAGCTTATATTTTGGTTTATTATAGTTTGACTTGGATGGAGATGGAAAGATCAACCAGGAGGAGATGAAGGAGGCCCTGAAGACTCTACTTGGGGAGAAGCTGAAGAAGGGAGAGCTGGAGGAGATCCTGAAGGAGCTGGATGTTAATGCTGATGGAAACATTGACTTTGAAGGTAGGATGTCTTTAAAACTTTCTTCTGATGCTCAGTACCCATCAGGGAGGATAGTTCTTTCTAAGTTCTTGTATTAAAACCGATACAGCCACATTATTATAATCTTTTATAATTTCTAAAAATGCTTTGAATGTATTTTACTAAAAGGGTGTCAATAAAGATACAGAATAAAAATGAGGCAGATAATGAGAGCTCTAACCTCAGTGATATATTATCAGCTCTGATTCAGTCTTGTTTCATTTTCAGAGTTTGTCATGATGCTTTCTATCCACTGAGCTCTGGAGCAGCACCTTCAAGGACCCGTTCCTACAAGACATCCATCAACTTTTATTATATAAACCAACGTATTGTATTTTTTGCTTCAGTGAAGACAAATAAAGCTATGGCCTGATAAATTGGTGTTTGTTACGTCGGCGTAGACTTTTGGTGTTTCACTATAGATCTGTTAAAAGCTGATAAATGACCTGCCCCGCATGGCACTGAAAGTAGAGTTTGGCGTTTTGTGGTCATTTGTAAATAAAGCTGATTTTATTTAGGCTATTTTGATAAATACATATAAATCTGTTGAGTCTGTGATTACATCAGGACAACACAAAGATTAGAGAGATCAGATAAGCTCCCAATCAAACTTTATTCAGAAAAAAAAATTAACCACAAGTACAATAGATTTATTTTTATATGACTATAATCTTAATGATATAAGTTAAATATAAATAAAATATCTACTTCTACACTGCAAAAAATTAAAATCAAAGTATTTATTTTCTGAAAATAAGTGATTTTTTTCTTGAATTGAGTAGGATAGTGAGACACGATGACAAAGGAATAAGATCATTTATATTTAAAAAAAAAAAAACTGCAGTCTCTTATTTCAAGTGCATATCTATCTTATTTTAAGGGTAAAAATGCTCATTCCATTGGCAGATCATTTTATTTTCCCACTCAAATTAAGGGTAAATACACTTATTTTAAGAAATTTGTACTCATTTTCAGGATGTTTTTGCAGCGTAACAACAAAGCAGCTTTGAGCCTTGTCAGATTTGCACCCTCTAAAAACCAAATGAAACATGAAGATTCGTTTCATATTCACCAAATACAACCCGCCATTAATATCTTAGATGTGGAATAAGTTATATCATAAGTGTATCAAAATGTGATAAAAACCAAACACAACAGCAAACAGCTGGAGTTTTTGCATATAGAGAACCTTTCATTGCACCAAGCTTCAATCTCACCCCATCAAATTAGAACTTTCTTACACCGGATACATGTATTGAAAATATATTGATGTAGTTCACAGCTTGTAAAAATCTAACTTCAAAGCATTGTTTTGGATACATTTTACGGTAATATTAATCACTTCTTATAGCAAATGCAGTCAAGATTTAATAATAAAGCAACTTTTATAAGCATTTGACCAATAGTTTTAAATATAAACTATCCTATAACAATCGAATACAGTTTTAGATGTTTTATACTACTCTTGGATGATGTTTATTTTTACTTTGCACAAATGGAAAAAAAAATGTTACATAAAACTTTGTGTAGGAGCTGAGCTGAAGATTATTACTTTGAAAAATAATTCTGGATAAAAGCAAGCGGCGTAGTAACGGTCACATTGTATTTAAGGTCAGAAAAAACAAAACTATAAAAGCAGATTATGATCTGCATTTCTGAATTAAGTGGTCAAATTCTGCATGAGTTTGTAGTTTAACAGCAAACCTTTCAAACCCCAACCAGCTGCTGTATCTAGACAAGATCATTCAAACAATTAGAAAACCTTCAGGAAATGATTGTCTGGGAGATTACAAAAAAAGGCAAGGAAACATCAAATATCAGGAGAACCTGGAATCTTCTAACTGATATCTAATCTTCTCAAATAATACCTAAAATGCCATTACCTCAAAACCCAGATGATTTAATGATGCAGATCAACAGAAGCTAACTGGACTAATCGTTTCGTCTCAAAGCTTATTTACTTTTACAGAACCCCACACGTTTTCATTAATTGAAAAAAACAATTAAGTCAATCTAAAGCACATATAATTGAGCTTTTATCAGTAACGTTTTCCCTCTTCTTGTTTTTTATCAAAACAAACCTATGATGATGAATTACAATTTTTCGGTGGCCATATTGAAAATTTCACCCAAATAAAAACAAAAAAAAGAATCTGTTATTTTCTTTTAATAAGCTAAATGTGAGGGGATTTTATTTTATCTTTTAATAATAATCCTTGTTAAAACTAAAAATCAATGTTACACTTCCTCTAAACTTTAATTTAACAAAATATACATATTTTTTTTTGTGGCTTGGGAAGCTCTAAAATCTTTATGATTTTGACTTAAAAAAATTCATTTTTTTTTCTTTTGAGGAGATCGAAATGTTTCCTTTCTAATTTACTGACCTTATTCCCTCTTTTGTTAAATTTGAACACCTTTATTGGTTGTCATGTTTATGTTCTTTTCGAGCAATTTTAACTTATCAACTTAAAAAGCACCGACAGAAGATATTATACAGATAAAAAAAAACAGGAATGATTATTTGTGACCAAACTAAAATAAACCCAAACAAAAAGCAGCTAAAAAACCTGAACAGAAGTAAAGCTCCATCAGGTTTACAGCAGGTGTGGATTGTGGTGAAGAAAGAATGAGAAATACGGAGTCTGAATTTTTTAAAGAAATCACAGTGAAACAGAAAGACTGATTTGCTGAACACGTTCCCTCCACCTTCACTGCTGCATATCAGACAGAATAAATTCATTACCAATTTCACAGGTAGGAACTGAAATGTTTGACACATTTTTATCCTTTCGTGAGCTTAATTTAGGTTTGCTGATGTGATTTTTCAGGTCGATAATGTATGTTTTCCCATAGCAAAGAATGAGGTCAGTGATCTGGAGCAGCAAACATCCAGGATATCTGTCTGGTCCAAATCTAAATCAAACGGAGCCTAAGAAGGGATGCTGAAAACAACTTGTGATGTTTTAAAAAAAAATCTAATATTTTTTACAAAAACACTTAAAAGGTCAGCTGGTAAATAAAAATCCCTTTCTCATTTTTTCACTGCAAAGCAGGATGACTAAGCATCCTCCAAGGTCAGCTTTTTTCATATTAGTTACCTTCGTCATCCTGTCCAGGTTTGTTTTTATTTTGCACATTTAATGCTAAATACAGGTATATCCACTGTGAGGGATCTATCATCTTCTTCACTCTTCAGGGAATGTTCGCTCTCTCTTTTGTAAACTTTGTGACACTGAGAAATAGAAGCTTTGTAAACAAACACCCCGACAGCAACATGAAAAAGGAAAGCACACCCTCTTTACATCCTACTGTTCTTTAACGTTTAGGGTTTAAGGAGAAACTTTTCTCATATTGGTTTCATCTTTGATCACTTACTGGGATTCATTCACACATTCACCTCCGAGAACTAATGGAGGGTGTATTTTTTTTAAAGAATGCCTGCAGGCTTAAGCCAGCATCTCAGAATGCATGAGGCTCAGGTTGTTTTTTTAGGGCTCAGGAGCTTCAGATTGCTCACACTGACACTGGATCCACATGCAGAGCTGCACTCAGTGAAAGCGGATGCATGCTATCATTGTGAGAAATTGTTTTGATGTTATGGAAGAAAGAAGGAAGTTCACCACAACACCAGCGCCTATATTAGTAGCATGTTCCTGTAGTTTTTTTCTATTGTTGCACATCTACATGCTAACAAATCCTTCTAGTCTTTCTATGTTCCGTTCACTCTGTACTTCTTTAAGTCCTACTCTTTCAGGAATCAGAAGAACAGCTATTTTTTTTGCCTACAGCGCGTTGCTCAGTTCCTCTGCAAACTCAGCCATGATGTCATGCACCCAGATGTCTCTTTCCTCCTGTGAGGTGTCGACCAGGAAGACGGTCAGCTTCCTGTCCCAGGGGTTGGCGCCTTCCTGCACGCCCTCCAGCTGGGCCACCAGTGGCTTCTTCTCTACGTGGTTTCTGAAAACGATGGAGGCTTCCTCTGACCACTGCTTCTGCTTCACTCCTGCAGAGGAAGGCAGAGCGAAATCAGTCAGTGGATGAAATAATAACCTAACAGAATAAACAATAAAAAGGTAACCTGAAAATACATCCTAAACTACAGAGAAAGCGTTCTAGGATTCAACTGGGATTTATCCCAGTTACACTTGTTGGTAAATGGGGATCCTTATCAATAAACAATCAAATGTCAGGGTTGGAAGAATGCAGTTTAAGGCAAAGATTCAAATTAACATATAACACCAAGTTTTAATCCATGATAAAATCTGGAGTTTAACTATTTCTGATCACAAAGGAGAAATCAGTGTTTTGCAAAAGTGTAACGTTTTCTTTCAAGTTAAATTGCAAACTTCAATGTCTTTAACTGGGATTACACACAACAAATAAACCTGAAATGCTGCTGCACACATTGTAGGTAAATTTAGTTTGGAATGGAAGCTGAATAAAGAAAAACTGAACTTTTTTCAGGTTTTCACTGTACGACCACAGCCCTCTGTGAGACTTTAAGTTAAAACCATTTATCTGCATTTCCTTCCCCAGTTACATGCCTTTTGTGGCCCCTGAATAGCTATTTTTTTATTTTGCTAAATTATAGTAATTTTCAGATTTCATCAGTTTAGGAAACTAAACAGATAATAAAAATAAAAAAGCATTTTGTCGAATTGATACTTTAAACCCCTAACGAGATGCATGTTAAATATATAATGTGTATATATGTTGTTTTAAGACAAGATACCTACATTTAACTGTTTTGTAATCATTTTTGACATTTATAGGAGGTGTACTATATATCCAGATAGAGTCTGCACACAAAAAAATTACTAAATTAGACTAAAGGGGGATATACACCGGGTGTCAGTCTTCCATTTGAAACAGTAAACCAGACACTTAATATGCTTGTTCAGTGTCCGTATTACGTGCGTAGATACACAACGCTGTTCCTAATTTAGGATGAGTTTCTAATTTCAGACGCGTATACGTTCCAGTTTGGGCAAGGAAGAAACAAAAACACAACATCTGTTTTCACAGTTCACTTCAGGCCAAGGTGTGTCTTCTACTTGGTGCTTTTTCACAAGATAATCCCCCAACGTCTACAGTTATTAATGCCCAATCAGCAGATGTTGGTAGCTGTGACATGCTAACAGAATATATATTTGAATTCTCATCAGATTGGTCAAAATGCTGATTTTTAGGTAATCATATATTGTATTACTTTAACCTTTTGCTGAAAGCAGGATTGTCGCAAGATCTGAGTCTCACAACAAATCCATCTTGAAAGACTCCCGCTAATACGTCCGTCTCATAGCAACCAGCGATCTGGACCAATGACATGCCAGCAGGGTTTTTCTGGGGCGGGACATGTAGGAATGAGGACAGTCAGAAGGGCCTTGCCGGGGCATTGCAACCATGGCTACGCTGGAGGACTGTCGATAGCACAATTGACCCAGTTTTAGCTAAAATAGTGACAATTTCTTGATTATAAAACTTGGAAAGAGAAGCACTTTTTTACAATTTTATATGGGAAAGATGTTTGTGCCTTTCTTCCAACAGGATCTGGAAAATATTTCTTTATCAGCTGACTCTGCTAGTTGGGAAAACACTCAATATGCTGTAGACGAATCCTATCGTAATTTTAAATGTCACAATTCGCTTCTATGATTGGCTGAAAGCGTATTATGGAAGGCGGTTGCCAGCTGGCACATCACCCAATCAGCTCCAGGTATTGCACTAAACGTCCCTCCTTTTCATTCGGACAGACTGAATGGCAGACATCCCATTTACTGCATAAAACTTCACTATAACCTTTTAATATGAAATTACTTAATTGTGAGAAAACTAATAATCATTTTTATCCAGAAGACTCAGGACTACGAGGAAAACTAGAACAGGTGCCAAAGGCTCCCTAATTAAGTGATTTCTAAAGAAAATTTAATTAAAACAGGGGTACCAAAGCAAAAGGAGAAGAGGAAAACATTTTTTTATATACTTTTTAGATGCGTATCTATTTGCAAAAGAATAAAAAGGGCTATTGAGAGTAAAGTTTTAGAGGGCAGCATGTAAACTCACCAGCCAGCTGAGCGTGGATGCCTTGGAACGGAAGCTGTCTGAACTCCTTTATCAGAGTTCTGAGCTGACTGCAGCTGACCAGCTCATGTTTACCGTAGTCCAGCTCATACACAGAAACCAGCCCGTTGGTCAGAACTCCCTTCACTAACACACGGTGCCAGCTGTAGGTCAGATGGACACATACTCAGGATAATAAAGTACAATGGCTATCCGGGTATTTATATAGAACTGTCTTGACGTTCATAAGATAAAGTAGCGCCCTAACTTACTTGTTTTCAATTTTAGCGGCATAAATCAAGTTCTTTTCCACTTTGAGGGGTTTCTCTTCAGTTTTATTGTAGTAAAGTATCATTTCTCCCATCAGCACCACCAGTTTATACATGTCTCTCCAGGGCTGCAGCACAAAGTGTCCTGGATGACACGCCACCGACACGTACACGTCCATATTGTGTCCTGTAAACATCAATGACAGCACATTCTAATAAATAAAGATTTTCTTCCAGAGATTCTTCTGCATTCTTTAATCTTACCAACGTTGGGTAGTTCCAGCAGTGGTGGCAGCTGGAGGAAGGATAAAGGTGATGATGGGGTTTCAGGTGGGCTGGCGGAGATTACGTTGCCTCCTCCCCCTCCTTTAGGTCCGGACAGCGTCCTCCTGGGATGAGGCTTGGCTGGGACAGGGGCCTGTGTTGGACTGCTGCTGGTGGAGTCACTGCTGCTAGAGGTCTTAGAGGAAAGAGGGTTTGCGGACATCTTGGTTGGGCTGGGAGATAATAGAAAAATCAAACAACATCATGAAGACTAATCAGAAGAAAGTTGCATAAAATTAGTAAAAAAAACAAACAAAAATAAAAGATTGAGACCTGTGGCTGGTCAGGAAGACATCTGGTTGCTGTTTGAACAAGTCGGACTGGGCCAACTGGTGGTTGAGGCTGCGTGCCTGATCATGGAAGTTCTTGTCGGTGAACAAGTAGACATAGACGCTGCGCTTAGTTTCATCTACCTTGGCAACCTGGGCAGTGCGGAGGTTTGAGATAAGTTAAAATACAACTCAAGTCAGAAACCTGAAGTCTACAGGAGGAAGGAAAACATTTTGTCGTCCTTAAACACATCCAGCTCGCAAGGTGAGATATTAATGACGGTTCAGGAAAAAACAAGAATGAACATTCTTTTGCTTTCACAAACATAGAAAGGTTTTCCTGCATTACAATTATCTTTATTTAATCTCTAATAGGAGTAGGATATTCTGGTCCTAATTTGAATGATCCATTTATTACAGATTTATGCACTAAAAAAGCTCCTATGATGTAGTTTCCTTAAAAATTTAAGTAAAGGAAATTCCCAATTGCCCTTCCCCTAAATTCTGTGTGTTCCCTAGGGTAGCTATATCCCAATACCCCTTTGCATGTAGTGGTAGTGTACAAAACGAGGGGTAAAGGGTATGAACGCATCGATAATTTCAGACAGTGACTTGCCAGGGAAGGGCAAGAGACAATTCCCAGAAAACATGGAGGTCAGAAATTTTAGGGAGTGACTCGTCGTTCTTATTTTTACTTTTAAAAGCCAAACAACGCCATTGCTGCGCCCCCCCTGGGTTCACCAGATTCTCCCAAACTTCTTTTTCTGTAATTTATTAACTTTGCACCATCTACCAACTTTTGTTTTATCCTTTTGAATGCACTGATTTACAACTATTTTTATTTTTTTTTAATCCCTTTTGAATTTCAGGCTCTTATTAGTTTCATAAAACAAAGTCAAAAACAAAACCCCAAGAACTGATCCGAATTCATTTTTTGCTGCCAATGTTGGATATTTCAAGCCTGGATATAATACACAACCCCAACCATGCCTATCACACCCATAAAATAATCAATTTGACAATATCAATGTTTTTATCGCTCCTGAGTTAAATAAGGTACAACCTAGGAATTTTTAAGCTAGGTCCTAGTTTCTCTGTACTTGTTTAGCATAAAAAAAATGTTTGGCTCTGGGATAAGGTAGATCACCTTCATGCTGCAGTCTGAGGTATTCAGCACTTTCTCTCGAAGCCACTGCACAGCATCTGGAGACCAGGACCCCACACTAACAGCCAGGTCGGCTAGGCAGCACTTCACAGCCTGAACACAAGTGGTTTCAAATATGACTTGGTTAGAATCCCATTTCAAAAGATGCGGTACAAACTGTGAGACTAACTGCTTGCTTTAGCTTCTCCTGACTTCTTTTCATTGTTGGACCTGAGGTGGGATGGACACGAAGTCGCGGAGGAAAAGCGGCGGGATCTCTCTGAGCTCAAACACCTCTACGGAAGCCTGGACGCCCACATCTATGAACAGGATGTCCAACACTCTGTTGCCGTGCAGGTTGGTGATCTGTGTTGAAAGAAAAAACAAAACATTTGGGGAGATGACACTGAACATTTGCTTCACATTTAAGAACCAAAATTTAACAATCAATGCAGGGAGAGTCTCCATCTTACTTCGGCACGAGACCATTTGCCTTTATAGCGAGCCAGACATCCTTTCCCGCAAAAAGGTCTGGATACTAAAAACTCTGACGTCACCTGGAACAAAGCGACGTCATTACCACCTTGATATCCTTCCTAAATAGGACTCAGCAGTCATTTGTTCAGATGTTCCTTGATAGTCAGACTTTAATAAAAAAGTTGTCTTTCAATAAAATTGGTTTAACTTCGTGTTTTTCTTTACACTTCCTGATTAAAAAGAGAATAAAAACAGGTTGTGATCCTCCAACAACCATTTTAGCATTTTGTTCCCCTTTTGCAGAGGTCGAAAACCTAATTAACAAACTAAAAGGATTATTCTCTGACAACAACAGTTTCATGCAATCTCTTCTTAATCCCTAAATGGTTTCACAAAAATAACATCTGCCGCCATTCTCCTGACGTAAAGCAGTAATGCTGCAAAGGACGACAGAGGCGCACCTCGAAAAGCAAGCACTTCCTGTGCTGCGAACAGATTAAGTCCCTTAGGAATGTCTTAACTCCAGATTATCGGCCTAATCTCAATCTGTGCACGACATGGCCTTAGGAGAGTGACATGGCCCCGCTTAAACTGCTAGTTTCAGGCAGTTTAGTCTGTGCATGCACAGAAACTGTTTCACAATATTAAATACTGAACTTCCTAATGATTATATGTTGTGTTTTCTGTCACCTTTTAAATTGGTTTCAAATAATACATAAACTAAAGATTTAATCAGATGCTATAGGATGATCCTTCCCGGAAACAGTCAGTCTAGTTTGGTGAATTTGATGCCATCTTTTGACTACATCTAATTATTTTAGATAAACATTTCATTCTAAACATTTTAGACACATTTTTTTAAAAAGAAAAAAAAAAAAAAAACCAAAGTGGTATCAGCATTGCTACCTGTGCGTGGAAGTAGTTTTCGATTTTTTCCAGTATCTCATTCAGCTTGGCGAGTCCTCTGGAGGGAAGCTGGCAGTATAAGGTCCCGTCGGAGCAAACGCTACTGACAGTCACGTTCATATAAGCGCTGTTCACCTGAGGATAAACACAGTTCTAGATGCATAGCACTCATAGGCTGTGTCCAACTGTCAGCCCTAATCACTATATGGGGCACTATATAGTGGTTACGCCATTTTATATGAGTCTCTGAACATCTAGTGGATCAAAAAGTAGTGGACTCGAAATTTCCCACAATTCACCTTGAAAAGTAGTGATCATCCATGGGCCGTTTCTCAATATTTGTATGTGCGTTCTCATGTGCTCGTGAAACGTCATCAGCCTCAGCTCTAGTAATGTTCCAATTCACAAGAACAGCAGACCAAAAAAGGACAAAGTCCCTGGATGTTGTTTTTACCCCTCCCTATTTATCAAGTATGCATCAGAGCACACTTGTCCGTTCTTGAGATTGACAGCTGTCCCAGCATGCACTGCGACAAAAGCAGCTTTCAATGGAGCGCTCACAGAGCTCAGAGTATTAAGTTAAAAGTTCTCTTTTCTGTTGATGTTGTTCAATAAAAGTACATTTTAAGATAATTTGAGGCGAGAACATTATACTTTTAAGCTTCATTATATGGCCAATTTACTGATTTAAGGCATAATTTAAAAAAATTATGCGGTCGAGAGGACCGCGGCAACCAGCGGAACTCTGTGAAGTAATGTATGAAGTACTATGATGGCGAGTTTTTTTGTTTTATTTGGCAACATTTTCACTTGATTTGTGTTTCTGACTGTGTTAATCATTATTCCCCCACTAAATGAAAAAAAGCCAGAATTTATTATTATCTAGAAACTATTAATAACAGGAGGTGAAATGCAGCTCTAGACTAGCTGAGCGTGTGGTGATGTCACGAGTACGCTTCTGTTCCAATTGACCCATATTTATGCTGCATGCTCCCATTCTCTCCAAGTCCACACTTTCTTGTTTTATTCTCAAGAACATACTTGGTGAGGACACAAGTCCGTACCAGTGTTCTTGTGAATTGAGAAACGGCCATGGCCACTGGACGAGCAGATATATCCCAGGTGCTTTGCATGGAGAGCTCTCCTTGCAAAGCATTATGGGATTTGATGTCAGGGCGGCCTGCTGGCACCATAGGCTGTCGTAACCCGACAGCGGCGACTAATAACCAAAATGGCGCAGGCATCACACGATGGAGGAGGAGTTATGTGACCAACGGGGAGCAAAAAGTAGAGATCATCTGTTAGAACGTTCAGTTAACTAAGTTCACTACAAAGTCCACTATACAGTCCCTGTTCTATATAGTGATTGAGGGATCCATACTTTTTCTGTACCTGTAACGGACTTGCTAGTGTCTTGTCTTGTAGAGCTTTCACACAGGCGGCGTTAATGTTCACGTCATCGTCCTGAGAAGTATCATAGAGGACCACCAGAGGGATCTGACCTCTCTCTAAGATCTCAGCCAGGAGGATTCTTCCACTCGCCATCGTCTCAAACTTCTTCAGAACAAGTGGCTCCTGGCAGAACGGCTCCAGGCCTGAACAGGACCAACAATTCAAGTTCATTCCAACCAATATCTTTCTAGCACACTTTTCAAGATTGTGACCACAAACTCAAATGTGTTTATCTCTATCTCTCGCTTTGGTAATAGTACACTTTATGTGGCAGTTAGTTGACAGGAAGATTTAGAGGTTTTAGACGGAGGGCGGGGGACATGTGGCAAAGGTCCGGGACAAGAAGCCGGAACGGCAACATCAGGAACTGAGGTTTCTGCTTAACGGTCGCACTTTCTATACTGAAGGGATCCTTGTTACAGACCAGCACAAAGTAAAGATGCAAACATTTAATGTTCTTTTTTTGACAATTGAAAAAAAAAAAGTTTGGTGCTTTTGTATTTAATCACTCCTGAATAAAGTATTTCTAGAGATACATATCACTGCATTTATGGCAGAAGGTTCTCCTGAGTCTATGTAGACTCAAGTTTCTGCCTGTGGCTCTTTGGCTAAACTCAATCACATTGAAAAGATTTGTAAATTTCAATTTCTGAAGTTTTCCCACAAATTACTTTGGTTAGAACTTTGGTCTGCAAGGGTCAGCAAGGATCTGCAACCTGCAGCTCCAGAGCAGTAAGTAGCTCTTTAGACCCTCTACAGAGGCCCTTTATGGTCTCTAAACACGATAAAGAACCAACTAATGCTTTTAAATATAGTTTATTAATAAATACCATTCTTGGAAAGTGTAGTTGTTTTTTTCCATTTGAATTAAACTTTCAAAACAGAATTACATAAATTCCCTAAATGCACCAGGGAGCGTTATCATAGATCCTTCCTCCCAACAGCTGTAAGACTCTATAACCATCACTGTTCCCAACAACCTCAATAAGTTCTTACATTTATGCTGATTTTTGCAGTTTCTGTCTTTGTCACTTAAATAACATGCTGCTGTCATTTTAGCACATATTTGCTATTGCTGCTATTTTTTCACATATCCAATACTGTAGAAAAGTCCACAGCTGTTTATGGATTATTTATTCACAGTATTTATATTGTGTAAACACTGTACAGTACAGTATTTTAATTGTTTATTTTCTTAACTCCATCTTGTTCTGTTATTTTTAGACACTTTTTAAAGTCCACAATTGTGTGACCACTTTTTATATTGACCATTTTTAAAAATTCTTTTGCTGCTGTAATGCCAAAAGTTTCAAGTAAAAAAAGGACAATAAAAGGACTTTCTGTTCTATTCTATAGAACCAGAATATCATTTGATAAATTTTTTCTTATTAGCCTGAAAACTTTTTTTCTTTTACATTAAATAACATTATATAATAATAATAATAATAATATATGCTTCCTCTTTATGAAACTTTAATATTTTGTCCTTATGATAACTCTGTAAAGCCTAAATCATGGAATTATTGTCAAAAAATTCAAATGTTTTAAAACTAGAGCTATCTCTAAAAATGGATAAATGAATTAAAAAAAACATAAAGTTTTGAATAGCTTAAATTAAATAAGCTATTAGTATTATTTGTAATGCATTAGGCATTTTGCTTACTACATGTCTGATTGTATAAATCAGAATTTTCATAAACACAAATATCCCACTGATGATGTAGAGGGCTAAAAAACTAAAAATACAAATAAACCGTTTGTTGTTTAAAATGGCAACAGATTTCCTATTGTGGATATTCAACTAAAACAATGTTTTTTTAAAGGTCATGTAATATTTAACTATTCATTTAAGTATTCATTCACTTTTAAAGGTAATTGCATCAAAGGGATTCAATTCAAGAAGGTGCAGTAAGTAAAAAAAGGTTGAACAATATTTTTTGAACATCTAATAGTAAAGAAATTCATCATTCCATTTTTTTTTCCATATGCGTCTCATATAGGACTTTTTAAAGATGCATTAGAGAATAAGGTTTGTAAGTTTGAGCAAGCCTTTATGTACCAAAGTTCTCTCACCTGCTAGTTTACACTTTGTTGACTGGAAAGGCAGCTTGAAAAACTTCTCATGCAGCTCCAACACTTTGGTTTTACTAATCACCTCTGAGAAGCCGTGATCTACATAAAACACCTGCGGATGCAACAGAAGAACTACTGATATTGTCTGTTTTCCTTTGCTTGTACTTGCTGCCTTTTTTTGAGTGCTTACCTTGACTTTATCAGGCATAACCTCACATATTTGTGCCCTGAGGATCTCCTCTTCCTCAGCCCGAACTGCTACGAGTTGGCCTGATGATGGAGAAGACAGAGGAGCTTGGCGGCTTGGATCTAAGCCATAAAACACCCTCATCTCGTCCTCCATTGAGTCCTGCGCCATAGAGTAACCCTCACCGATGTACCTGGACGATGAGGAGAGGTGGACAATGAGAGGTCCCAGTTCCATCAGCTCATTACACATCATTTAGTTTCTCCCCTACCTTAGTATAACTGTGTTGGTGTTGGTGGCCTCCATCACCAGAACGGAGGGGTACTCCTCTTTGGGGATCTGCAGCTGAGGCACTTGGTGGTTACTGAGCCTCCTCCCCAGCTCACTCCTCACTCTCATCTCCTCTTCACTGGTTGACGAGCTCCTCCTGTTGCAGTTCTCATCCTCTGCACCTCCAGTGCTGCTCCGTCTGTACAGGATGGCCCTCTTGGGGTTATCAGGCATCGGGTAGTTGATGGTGCAGATGTCTGACAGCAGGTCAAGGTTTTCCAGCACATGTGCGGGCAGTTTAGCCTTGTTATAAAAAAGAAATACAAAAGTAAGACAAAACAATATTTGCACCTGTTAAATAAAAATAAATTTTTATCAAATTGTGTGCTATTAACTTTGTAGGTGTCCTGGAAGAGCTTGGGCAGAGCGTGGGCCCAGAGACCACTGGAGTACTTCACCAGCAGCTCCTCCAGTTTCTGCTTCAGGTCAGGGCTGAGGGCTGCAGGGGAGGAAGGAGGGCTGGGGGACGAAGAGGAAGATGGTGGAGACTGAGGAGAACAGGAGTCAGAGCGAGCCGGATGATTGGAGAGGGGTCTCATTTGGGTGGGGGTCATTTCAGCTGGGGAGGCGGGGGAGCTTGAGTTAAGGACCTGTGAGGGAATGGATGTGCTGGTCTGCTCCTTGGCGGGATAGAGCAGCAGCTCTGATGAGTTGCTGCTGCAGGTTTTCTCCACCTAGAACAATAAAAACAGAAATGAACAAACTCTTTCTAGATCTTGGGCGATATGTTGGATTAGTTTACATTTTTTTTCCACTGTTCTTTTGCAGGAGTCTTTCACATTGATTTTTTTTTTTATCCAGACGACCCTAGAACTGTTCTAAACTTTTGTTTTCCTCTCATTAAGTCATTTATTTGATTTTTTTTACTTAAAAGTGATCCCTAAATATAAGATCCTTCCTGGCACAGTCTATGAGTGCTATAACAGACTTCTGAATGTTTCGGGAAAAACAACTCACGATCATGATGCTGCTATGCAGGATTTTTCACTTTTCATTTTGTTAAGTTCCTTAAGAGGAAAATGTCACATTGAAGAGATAAGATTCATCTGTGCCTCCCTCCAGTATGTTGTGTGATGAAACTGGAAAACACCCAAAGTTCGGATGTGGCAAATCAACGAGGTGATATAGATTTAAATAAGAATGATGAAAATGCTTTTATTTTTAAGGGTTTGTTTTATTCCATTTATTAGGGTTTTTTCTGTTAAGTAAAACAATAAAACATAAAAGTCTAGAAACTCAAATAATTTTCTGTAACAATGTTTCTTTTCAAGGCTTTCAAAGACTGCATAGGACCCTGTTGATGCATCAAAGTTGACCTCAATAAAATCATTTATTTTTCCACACTTCCTGGGTCAAGGGAAATTAATCATTTATTTTTTATTTTTTTATTTATTGGCTTAAAAGTCATTATTTCCTGTTAAAGTAAGGCAAGACAGGTTTATTTATACCCCATATTTTAGTAGCAAGACAACCCAAAGTCCTGTACATTAGAAAAAAAAAGGAATCTGCAGTGGCATAGAGGCATCAAAAATAATCTAAAATAATCTAAGATAATAAACAATATATGATTAAAATAGGATAAAATGATTTCAAAAATGAGACGAAAGTTAAGCCTGTTAACTATCAAAACCAGATAGGTCATTATTCTATGAACGATTAACGAATGTAATCAGTGTCTACAATTACATTCCTACAACAGCACACGAATTTGCTTTTTTTTTAGCAGCAAATATTTAAAAAACAAGGGATTCATCCAAAACGTTCAGTTCGGAGGTCGTACATACAATGCATATGTGGGTCCAGGTCTCCAGGTCTTTGATGGCCTCTGGGGGAAGGTCCTGCTTGTAAAGCTCTTTGTAGATCTGAGGCAGCTTTGACACCCAGAAGCCATTGCTGTACTTTGCCAAAATCTCTCTGATGTGACTCTGGACCTGCTGAGGGTTGTATGGTTTGCTTTTGCTGGAGCCAAAGCTCTCGTTTAGATTTACTGGTGCTGGAAGAGAAACAGAAGAACACAAGAAAAATTCTAAATCTATGGTGTTTATGATTTTTAATGCAAGGACAATTTAAAAACTATACATAGATATATTGATATGATCTCATCTATAGTATCAAAACAGTCCTTGATATTACTCTTTTAAATTATTTTTCCTTCTTCTCTTTGAAGAATTGATCAAATCTCAGCTATTTGAAATATTAGATTAAGAGATGATTTTTAGATGCCACAAGGGTTTGTCACAAAGTTTAAACCCCGACTAAGTTTAAACCCTCTGCTTTTTCATAATTTTCTCCCAGACTAAATGTCTTTTCTACTCAAAATGACATATCATATAAAAAATACTTATAGATATACCGTATTTTCACGACTATAAGGCGCACCTAAACGTCTTTTTTTTCCCTCAAAATGTGGGGTGCGCCCTATGGTGCGGTGCGCCCTATCTGCGGACGTTGTTGAGACCACCATGAGTATGTGAGAACCTTAAAGGGGGAAGTGTGGGCGTGGCTTGTGTATAAAAGAACAGGTATGTGCTGTATGCAGAACATTGTTGTCTTAACAACCCTGGAAATGGCAAAGAGACACGCCTATGAAGCCCAGTTTAAACTGAAGGCTATCAGCTATGCAGAGGAACATGGAAATCGAGCAGCTGCGAGAGAATTCAATATAAATGAATCGATGGTTCGCAAGTGGAGGAAGCTGGAAAACGAACTCCGACTGGTGAAGAAGACGCAGCTGAGTTTCCGCAGACATAAGGCGAGGTGGCCCGAGTTGGAGGAAAGACTGGAGCGGTGGATCGTGGAGCAAAGAACAAGTGGGGCCAGCGTTTCAACGGTCACTGTTCGACTAAAAGCAGTAAAGCTGGCGGAAGAAATGAAAATTGAAAATTTTCAAGGAGGTCCATCGTGGTGCTTCCGTTTTATGAAACGGTGCAATTTTTCCATCCGGACCAGGACTACAGTTGCTCAGCGACGTCCGGCGGATTATGATGAAAAGCTGGCGAGCTTCCACTCCTTCTGCAGCAAACACATCGCTGACAAAGTCATCCAGCCAAGCCACATCACCAACATGGACGAGGTGCCGCTCACTTTCGACATCTCGGTGAATCACACGGTGGAGAAGAAAGGGACCAGCACTGTAGCGATACACACAACGGGGTATGAAAAGGCGTCGTTTACTGTTGTGCTTGGCTGCCACGCAAATGGAGCCGCCCGGCACGGAAAGTGACTCTGACAGCGAAGAAGAAGGGTAAACCGGCATTTCGGATTTAGCGCAGCTGTTTAATTCCGAAACAGAGGATGAGGACTTTGAGGGGTTTGATTAATACTCTGTAATAAATACTTGAATAAAGCACAATCATACTCAGTTTTGCTCCCGCTCTATTTTTTCTACCTGAAAACTTAATTCAACAGCAGCCTGTGGGCCGCGCGGCGCATCAGGGCTCACCTCGGCAGGTGTTTTTTCATCTAAATAATCTAAATCTTTTTAAGTGAGAAAGCCCACCTGAAAATTTTATCATTGCAGTCAGTTCATCCAGATTATTATCCTGCCTATTTTTTAAGTTAATTTATGCGTCAATAAACTGTATCAGAGGAGTAATCACAGCCCTGTGTCATCAGCGATGTGTCTCTCACGGCAGGTTCCCAGGTTTTAATAATACTTTGTAATAAATACACCTTGCAGCTTTATTTGCTGTGATCAGTGGGAATAAAGTAGTTTTAATATGTTTTTAAGTGAGAAAATCCACCTGAGAGGACATGTACCTGTATATAAAAAACGCGCCCTATAGTCCGGTGCGCCTTATGTGTGTGTTAAATACAGAAATGGCACACATAACTGAGACTGCGCCTTTTAGTCCGGTGCGCCTTATGGTCGTGAAAATACGGTAATTAACAATTTTAAGTCTATCAACTTTATTTATCTTGTTTGTGCTTTCTTTTTTTAAATAAAGTTTATAAAAAAAAACTTAATTCGAAGCCTTTATAACCTAAAAGCTAACGTTGATAAACTCCCCGTAAAGCTAGCTCCCATTCATTAACAAGTGTTGTTATGCTGAAAAACCTATGTACACGCACAATTTTACTCCCCACCAAACTCCTATCTGGAATAATTGATATGTGCTATATAGAAATAAGTCTCTGTATTTGGATCGATTGATGGAAAAGGGCATTTGGTCTTTAACACATTTTCTAAACGACAATAGAGGTTGGCTGTCCTGTGAAGACTTTTGCTCGCTGTATAATTTAAACTGCTCCTATGCTCAGTTTAACACTGTCTTAAACTGCAATCCGGCAGCAAACATGTGCTGCGCTCCATTCCCAAAGGCTTTGAATACAACTTCCGGAATAGAATTCTGATCTTGACAATGCAGGAGTCCAAATTTTGCAGATCTGCAATGAAGGGTCCTGACAGTGCAGGTCTGCAGCCAGACTCTCTTGCAGAACTGACACAACTTTCTTGAAAAATATAAAACATGGTGAAATAAAAAAAAGCACATAAGTTGTAATCATAGACAAAAAACTAACTAACTAATAATAATAATCTCAGTGGCAGCAGTCATTCATAATGAGGCCTTGCCTTATTACCACCCGCTAAGGGACCTTTATCTACACTAGGGGTCGGCAACCCAAACTGCTCAAAGAGCCATATTGGACCAAAAAAAAACAAAAAACAAATCTGTCTGGAGCCACAAAAATGTAGAAGTCTTATATAAGCCTCGTATGGATCTAAGTCTATTAGCTCACCATAAAAAAGAACTATATGGGCTTTAATATATATTAAGCATTCATGATTAAATGTTTATCCTCGAGCAAATATCACATAGTAGCATGAGGCGATGTAATTCATCTCGCTCTGCTTCACCACCCTTCACCGTGTGGTTTAAGTTTCGTTGCATCGATGAAATTATAGAAACACAATAAAGAAATCTTTCTATGGTGGACGTGTTTCTGTTGGGAGGAGTTGATTGAGTCATGAGGAACCAAGCGGGAACTGACATCCATCAGAGCAGAGCTCTCTAACCCTGAAATCTCCTTGGTGTTATTTTTATTTTGAGGATTTGGGGGAAAACAATCAAAGAAATTTCTCATCCCTGCATCAGAGCGCTGCCTGTTTGATGTGTTGATGGTTTTCCATGCTTGCAACAAAACTAGCAGCAGTAGTGGAGTTTGGAGATGCAATCCTCTTCTTAAATCTATCTTTGCTCTCATCTAAATTTATCCAGAAGTTCTGCAATCGCACTTTTTCTCTCATTCCCAACTTGGTGGTCAGCTCCATATTTAGCTTGCCTTCCCTGGAAATGCATTTTCAAATGACTCTTTAATTTTTGACAACCTCTCATTACAAAGCAAAAATGCAGGCAATCCTTCCGCATTGATAATGAAAGTAAATTATTTAGTCCATTCTTTTTTGAATCCTCTTTTCTCATCAGCTATCATCCTTCTTTTCCCTTCAGGATCCATAGTCTGAGAAACACCCGCCGCTTTGTTTGCCTGGCACCGCGCCACGCTGAAACATGTGTTGCAGGCTATGACCACTGATCTCTATGGCTATGAAGCAAATTTTTGTTGAATGAAATGTTTACAGCTATTGTTTAAATTTATTATACAAATTTTTACACCACTGGAAAACGTAATGAATGTTTGTTTGACCTCCTGCACACCATATTAAAATAAACAAACAAAGAAAAATCTATTTTCATGAATCTTTGAAAAAGCTCCAGGGAGCCGCAAGGAGGGCACCCAAGAGCGGCATGCGGCTCTGGAGCCGCGGGTTGCTGACCCCTGGTCAACACTAAAAAGCCTTCTTTCCTCCGCCAGTCAAGACTGCTCCTTCCTCTGTGAACACATTTTTAGTTTAAGTTATTACTGACTAGCCTTCCCTGCAGCTATTCGGCAGACCAACGTTTTATTAGAAGTAGAAGGTTCCCAGATGCTTAAAGATCTACTGACATCATTGTCAGATAAAGGGCCACAATTTCACTGAATATAGATTTACTTTGCTGTCTTGTTTATTTTGGCCATAAAAAAAATACATATAAATCACAGATATGATGATTTATTTCACTAACCATTTGGACATTTTTGCCTTTGCAAAACATACCTGGAGAATTTAAAGGGTATTACTGTAGCCAATAATCTTTCTGTTTTAGATTAAGAAGTGAAGCAAAATATAGAAACACTGTGTGAAAAAGTTCAGCAGGATGAATGATGGGAATCGTGGTCTAAAATGTGCATTTTCAGCAAAAATAGTGGGAAGTTTTTAGTCAATTTAACATCAATTAATTAAATATTTTTTTATTTCCTATTAATGTAAATAAAACGACTGGACATCCTTCTAAGCTGCAGTTTGGAAAAACTATAAATTTGTTCTACTCACGCCCTCCCTGTTGTGGATTTCTGGAGAGGTGAGCGTGCATCTCCTTCTGAAAGCGTGTTGGGAGGGTCATCCTCTTGTCCTGTCTGTAAAGGGAGAACCAAACAGGAAATAATGATAAAAACCAAATAGTAGGTAATTCTGGTTTTAGGCTTTTCTTTTCAACCTTATTGAACATTGCACTATTTCAAACTATTCTAAATCTAATTTGTGTATCAAGTGAATAGGAGAAGAATTACCCTGAAGAAGAGTCGTTTTTAAGACTTTTAAGTTTAATCAACATTAGAAACTCCTGGATAAAGTATACATTACATTTCCTCCATTTTGACACAATCTAAGTGTGTTCTATACCCCAGCACTGACCCTATAATAACATCTCACTGATAAAGACTCATTCACCCTGGATGTTAGACACTTTAACCTGAAACAAAAGCTGACACCTTGATCTAATTTCCTTACCAAAATTCACTTATATCTCTAATCTCTATATCTCTACATCTAAGACGTGCCCGCGCTGTTCGGCGGAAGTGACATCAAGCGCGTCCATGCTAAATGGGTCCAACCTAGCAAACAATTGGGTCGTTATATTCAAGGTGGATTTTGTGGATACTCAGAAGCAACTCAGACACCAATGGCAACTCCACGTAAGGTGAAAAAGATAAAGAAACAAACAAAACATTGTTAACTACGATTGCAAACTATGAGGACGAGCAAGAGTGCTGCAGTGCTGTGTTTTGGCCACAGGTGGCAGTACAGTTAGAAGAATCCCATAATGCTTCTTTAATACTTGAATAACAAAATAATATATATATATACATATATGTATAAAAAACATGGTAAATAATAAATATAAAAAAAAAAAAAAAAACACATGGCAAAGGTAACATACCCCATGCTGAGGTAGTAGAACACTGAATTACTAACCTTTGATAAAACGAAACATTAACACACATAATTCTAATGTGCAAAGAAGGCCTAAAACAAAACAACATCATTATTTTCTATCATTTAGACCAGTTTTTGGGTACAAAACTATATTTAATATTTAGAGCCAAACTAATAATCAGTAGCCGTTTTAGACAAAAGGAAAAAAGCTTAAAGCTGACTGTCATTTCGAAATAATTGTAAACAGGAAAGAGAAAAAGAAATACTAAATTGGCCCACAGGATGAACCAGATCTCGTCTCCTCTGTCAGCAGGTATCACCATTAGACCTTTATCTAGTATGAAAATGCACAAACTGATGAAATAAGTACAAATTGCATCATGCATTTGCCCTTCATTTGAGTATGGAAGATAATCAGATGTGATGCATTTGAAATAAGATAATGGAGTTCTTTTTCTTATTTTAAACATAAATCATCAAATTCTATTGGCTATTGTCCTACTGCCCTGCACAATTCAAGGGAAAAGTAGTATTGGATAAGACTATTATGACCTAAGTCTGGGATATCTTGATAACCCAGAGCCAGGTCAGTGATTTTCTATAGTGAAGGTCAAGCTCTTAATATCTAGATCTTTACAACATAAGCAATGCACATTTTGCTTAACACAAGTAGTAGCTGCAGTTACATAGTTCCATTATTTAAGTAAAGCACAAAATTGCTTATCTTTTCATCTTTCTGTTAGTTTGTAACTTTTTCACTTTTTGAATATTCATTTTGTTTTCAAGACCTAAATAAAGACATAATTATCAGTCTCTGGCCACACAACATATTCTACTCACTGAACTGTCAAACTTTTGTCTTACCTCCTATTCTCAAAGGGAGAAATTTATTAATTCAATTTTAAAAAAGTTTTGTTTTTTTATTGAAACTCTAACTCTGGGTTTTGGCTTGAATAGCACAGTCAGGCGCTACACAAATGAAGATGACGTTGACCTGTCCATTAAAAAGATCTAGAGTGTTACAGAGAGATATGCTGATTCACTCTGTGCCGGTTTAGAAGAGTTAATCTACCAGAGAATAGAGGATGGATTAAAAAGGGCTCATGTCCCCCCTGAGCTGGGCTCATGCCCCCTGCTAGGACACTGGGACTCCCATCCTGGTGCCCCTTTGTGCTGCAACACAATGGAGACAGAGGGCCGGATTTATCAAGATCCAATTTTGCGTGCAGTAATTTGCGCTCGCAAACTGGAATTTTGCGCGAGGGGCTGAACCATGGTTTGCGGGTGATTTAACAAGAGTGATTGCGTAACTGGTGGCAGGTGCAAAACTGTTGGAGACGCCCTATTTAAATGATGGTTTTGCGCGTTTTGTGGTTTGCGGCAAAGTAGTTTGTAGTCTGTACAAACTAGTGCATTAAGAAATTTAAATCTTACAGTGACACCCAAAAAAAAAAAAAAAAAAAAAAAATATATATATATATATATATATATATATATATATATATATATATATATATATATATATATATATATATATATATATATATATATATAAATTGGCAACCTTTATTCCCTAAGGTGGTATGTGCTGCAGTAAAAAAAACACAAAAAAAAAGAGGTGTTTTGTATTGGCCTGTGACTGTGGATGAGATCCCCGCAGCATTTGGCACGTTGCTCCACAGGTGCAGGGAGAGAACCCCGACCCCGTCGGACAGCACTTCTGAAAAAACGAGATTGGGAGATCCCAGCTCTCGCTGCAACCGTACGCTGGAATGACCCAGATGCAAAAAAGTGCAATGTTGCAAGGAGTTTTGTGATATCTGGTATTGCGTGGGTCCTCCTTGTGGCTGGCTCCAAATCCATTCAGAGTTCCCCCAACAGCTCCAAAATGGCAATGCTGGATAAACTATATGTTTTGATGATCGTTTCCTCGTTCATTCCAAAAATATTCACACGGAGTGAAAAAAATGCGTTCTCTGCGTCTCCTTGCTTCATTTCAATGTCTCCTGCTTGCGACAATAACCGCTGCCATGTGTGCGCAATTACGCATACAGACCATTTGCACCTTCTTTTGAAACGTGTTAAATATAGAGTCAGATACCGTTAGCAAAATTGCTTTCAGGTTTGATAAATCACTTTGCGAGTGCTAAATTAATATATTTACATGTTCTCCTCCCACAAGACGCACTTTTGCGTGTAAACGCCCCATATTGAATATTCATTGCAGAAAAAGTACTAAATGGATAAGAGGCGCTATTTAGCACGTTTTAAAGACCAAATCCTTTTAGCACGCTGTTGATAGATCAGTTTGTACATTTTTTAGCGTGCGCGGTGAAATAGCTCACGTTTTTATACACGCAAACCTTTGATAGATCCGGCCCAGAGACAGTGACCTGATCTCCCTGGTTTATCTAAAGGTGGATGGAGGTTAGAGGGAGAACCAGTCACTGGGTTGGGATAAATCTCTGTGTATAGCAGATTACATCTAGCAAGGAAATCTTTTTGAGCCTAAATCAAACGTTTCAGGTGTAAAACAATTCTTTATTTTTTAAAGACAAAAATTAAAATTAAATAAGAAAAATTTGTTTATCTTTAAAAACATAAGACCTCAAACTGATGCTGCTAAGAGGGTTTGTGAAAATACCTCTCATGAACGTGTTCAGAAAGAAAAATAAGTACTGGATCCCTTCTGATTTTTAGTTTGTCAAGTTATAAGAAAATAAACAAAGTGAATAAAAAAAGACATTGATCCAAAATCCAAATTAAACCCCTTTAACTGAAGGAGATGCGTGATCCCCTTCAAACAAGGCAGAGACCTGGTTCCAATAGACTGAATACTGGTCCAAATTGCCCACACCAGTTGAAGGTCACCAATTAGACCCAACTTACCACTCTCATTCACTCTCATTTCAACATCTCATCATCTATAGGTGTTGCAAGAATTGAACAAAAGTCAAAACTCAGGGAAATTGAATTGTTTCAATAGTAAACTATGTTTGGAATCTTTGATAAAACCAGCAAAGCATTCTGATTTCTAGAGAGAACGTATTGATAAGGCATTGCAAATCCAAAATATAAATTGTCTGGCAGGTTTATCTTAAAAAAAACAAAAAAAACAGCAAACATTGTCTAAAAATGTTTAATATCCTTCGCCAAGTTTTGCTGTGATTGTATTGTAAGGAACAAAAATAGAATAAAAATATAACTAACCCTTTCTTTATTAAGCCAAGCTGAATCATTGGATTTGTGATGATATTCACTATTGAATGCACATGTCTGGCACACCAGATTCATCCCATTCTTGAATTCTGTTGAAGGACCAATCATAATCATGCAATATGCTAGATGGCATTCACCTAAAAATCAGTTTATAGAATAAATGGTAAATAAGGACATAAATGGCAGCATATTACTCCAGCTGGGTAATTTAATTTATCATGTTCATCAGACTTGTTTACTGACTTCATTGATTAAAATAAAACTACTTCCTTTGCACACAAACAGCCACAGCATGTTCCATCTGCCCAGTTAGCTCGACCGTAACAATTACATGATGAATCAAACCAACCAGCGCTAACTCACTTTTCTGCAGGCAGGTTCCCTCTCTTATTGGCTACGTTGTGATTGGTCAGCTTGTTGGGATGCCCTCCAGCTCTTCCCTCCGTCAGGACATCCCTCAGGTCTCTCGTCTGTCTGAAGTCTCCATGTCCAGCCCCGCGGCCGGCACCTCCACCTCCTCTTCCTCCGCCTCGGCGGTTTGGCTGCCTCAGAGAGGTTTGGGGTTTGGCTGACAAGAAAAAAACAAACAAAAAAAGCAAGAGTGACTCAGCAAAAATTGATGGAGAGATGTTACATTTGTCTGAAGGGTGGTTTAAAAAAAATTGGAAGAAAAAAAAACAGATTTAATTAGAAACCAAAAATCAGCTGCTGGTGGTCCACAAACCCCTTGTATGCTCATGCGTGGTGCACGAGGTTTTGGTAAATCGGCTCATATCTGTCTCAACTGTAGGATTTAGCCACAAACATCTCACGAGGGGGTTGCTTAGTGGTCGCAGTGGGCAGCACTATTTCTTGCAGCAAGAACATTGCGGGTTCAATTACCGGCCTGGGGTCTTTCTGCATGGAGTTTGCATGTTCTCACTGACTTTGCATTTAAGCATGCATGAGTACTCAGGCTTCCTCTCACAGTCCAAAAACATGACTTCTCTAAATTCTCCTTATGTGTGAGTGTGTGTGTGAATGGTTGTTTGTCATGTTTGTCTCCGTGTTGCCCTGCGATGGACTGGCGACCTGTCCAGGTCATACACCCTGTCCAGAGTGTACCCCGCCTCTCGCCCGTAGAAAGCTTGCGACCCCGCTTGGGATGAAGTGTGTCAGAAAAAAAAGGGCTGACTGAATTTCTAACATGTTTGATTTTCTCTCGAGATTAAGATTCCTGATCAGGAGGTGGTTGTGAGGACGGACATAGAGGCTGAAACTCGGCCCGGTCGAAAAAATTCTCGCACGACTGGAAATGGCAAAAAATCGTACAGTGTGTGCCCGGCTTTAGGGGTCTATGGTGCAGGGCCGGGTCATGAAGGTGCCTGCTCGATGCTGATTGGCCAACTTTTGGGAGTGGCGGCCCAGTGGTTAGGCCATTGCGCTTGGAATCCTGAGGTTCTGAGTTCAAGTCCCACTCCCACGGACTGCCACTCTGGATCCCTGAGCAAGACCCCCCCATTGCTCCTCAGGAACCGCACAATGGCACCCCACTGCTTCCCAAGGGGATGGGTTAAATGCAGAGAGTTAATTTAATTGCTCTGTACTTGTCACAGTGTAATGACAATAAAACGCTGGGGAAAGAAAAAAAACCAAAAACATACTCAAGTATGTCTGACTGACAATAATCAGACAGCGAGGAGGTTTTCCACATGAGTCAAGGGGGAAAAGTGATCATTCAGTCAGAACAGTCATTTTGTGCTGAACTGTTGGTTTCTGGAGTTAATTATTTCTGAGCGGATCACAGCTATTTTCACCCATTGTAGTGATGTGATTTTATATGTTTCAACAAGTTTTCATGCAATACGTGACTTTGGATTTAATTAACATCATTGATCCTCCCCTGTTTCAGAGAGCAGCAGCTGCCACTGAGTTTCAGATATGTTTCTGCCCTGTTGGGGAACATTGTAAGTTGATCAATTTAATCGCTCTTATGATGTCATTGACTCTAATACACATGTAGCAGAACTTGCTGCTTATTTCCTTGGTGCGCTTTCCAAAATGTCTGCATTTTGGGAAATACAGCACATTTTTTTTCTGTGTACATTTGATGGTCAAAATAAATTGGGGCCTCTCAGTTTTACTGTATTGCATCAGCGAAGCTTAGCATGACAGTACTTCTACTCACTCCCTCCCTTTCAATCCTCCTCCCTCTGTTGCTCACTCATTCCTTAAGCCTTTCTATGTCAGAACTTTCTGATGCTTTAAAATCTACCCTATTTTTATTCTTACCGATCTTGATTTAATCAACCCAGTTACGAAAAAAAAAGCCGGGCAGCTTCAGTAGCCTTACTCAGCAGACAGTTCCTGCTTCAGCCCCTGAGTCAACACACACTGAAGCATATAACGCAGAACTGAGCTGACATCCACATGCAGATATTTACGTAAGGACGACCACTCACATGCACTACGAGCGAACGTCACATCACCCTGCAGACGTGGACTCACGGCTTCTGCTGTGCCTCAGCCTGAATATCAATAACCTCGGCAGTGAGAAGAGGATGAGGGCTCGATTTGTGAATCAGCTTCTCTACGCTTGTGCAGCGTGAACCGGATCACCCCACTCCAACCCCCTCCTTCCCCGTCACCAGACCACCTCCTCAGTGTCTCTCGTCCATTTTTCTCCCTCCCTTCTGCACCGCCACCTCTTACCAACCACCCCCCCGACTTCTAAGAATATTCTGCAGCATCACCATCTAGCAGAGAAATAAAGTGGTCTTCGTAGGAGTAATTTCTGTTAGTGAACGTGCGCCTTGTTCAGGGTTCTTCCTAGTTATTTAAATGTATAGTGGAGGATGATCTTTATAAGGGTGATCATCAAAATAATTGATCCTCCTAATTTTCAATCATTCTGGTGATATGTTTACGTCAGGTCGTCCTACGTGCTCGTCCCTATTTTCAATTACCGGTGGAAAAATTGCAAATCTTCTTTTAGAAAGGAAGCTTAAAAAAATAAAATAAAAAACTAAAAAAAGCTTGTATGAGCGATGCAAACTAACTTTTAAACAGAGCGTGCACAAGGAGAAATGGGCTTTTGCATGCTCTAGCACGCGTTTAATAGGCGTTCCCTCCCGGGAGTGGGTACAGAGCTGTGCATTTGCATTTTTTTTTCTTTTTAAAGTGGAGAGAGAAGGTGAGTCTTTGCAAAAATTTACAAAAATCCTCCACTATACCTTTAAGACTGATTAGCAAAAAGTATTTTCCATAAATACAAACTCATATTCTCTACTCCCTCCTCCTGCTTTGCACATCTCTTTATTGTTATTATGCTTTTTTAAATACCTTACAGTATTTAATCTCATATTGTAAATTTACCCTCATTACACCATCTCTTATTCTTTTTTTGTTTTGTTTTGATTGTTTATTTTTCTGCGTTGCTTCTGTTTGCCCTTCATTTTTCTGCTGACATGCCTGAAATTCTACAATGGGGGACAATCAAAGTTGTTTCTAATCCATTTTAGAGGCTCAGTAATGTGTGTAAGGGTTGCTGTCTTTGTGCATCTGATGCACCGATGCTTGGTATACATGAGAGTCTGGGTGGAGGCTATAACTGTAAAGAGGCCAGTCATTCATCTTCAGCCTGTCAGGCTAAACACAAAGAGGCTCTGCTGCAACAGCACAGCCCTGTCACCTATTTGTTCCTGTTCATTGGATTCAACTCATATACTTTTAAATTTCTCACATTTCGTTTAGGAACAGCAATAAAATTAATTGTATTTTCTTGAGGTTTCATGCAAAAGACTAAATAACATTATTTCAAAGATAAATAATGAAAAGAATTACATTGTTTATCATCCCTCTTTCCCTTCATTTCCCTGAATAAAGTCAAGTTCAGGCCTTTGCAAAGCTCTCAGAATCCATTCAAATGTTTGATAGACAGTATTGAAAAACAGAAAGACAGAAAGACTACAGGAAACTGCAAACCTACAAGGTTGTGGAGCTCAACCAGCTTTTATAACCTTCCCCCCAAACACCAGACGTCATTTAGACCTTGGTTTTTAGGCTAAATCTCATCCGTCATAGTCATAGAAATAATGATAAATTTTGGGACTATATAGTCTGATAAAGAGTCCATTTATATACATGTTTAAAGCCAGAGTGATTTGACATTTAAATACGACTTCCCTACGACTTTAAAAAAAGCTACGAAGATATGGCAAACAAGGAACTCAGTGAGACAAGAATTAAATAAAACCTTTTGGCTTACAGAAATAAAAATAACCTAATGATAGAAAATATGCTCCTGAATTGCAGTTCCTGGCTTTTAAACATTTTCTCTTGATCAAAGCTCATATGCAAGCTCTCCTGAATCATAAAATGCAAGATAAGCTGAGTGATAAACCAACATTTGATCGGTTTGCCGATTAATATTATATTCAGTTTGTAAAAAAAAACAACAAAAAAACAGAAAACAACAATGGTGGTCATTTGGTGATAAAGAAATATGAGTTTTTTGTCATGAGCATCAGAATCCTGCACAGGTCTGATTTTTCTAAACTGTATCTGCCCCCACCCTTAGAGCCCATAACCGATACCCGACCCATGACCCGCAATTATCCCCATTTAAAACCCAGGACCGCCCATACCCGTAGAGTTCAGAACCGAGACCCGACCCATGACCTGCAATTATCCCCATTTAAAACCCAGGACCGCCCAAACCCGTAGAGTTCAGAACCGAGACCCGACCCATGACCCGCAATTATCACCATTTAAAACCCAGGACCGCCCATACCCGTAGAGTTCAGAACCGAGACCCGACCCATGACCTGCAATTATCCCCATTTAAAACCCAGGACCGCCCATACCCGTAGAGTTCAGAACCGAGACCCGACCCATGACCTGCAATTATCCCCATTTAAAACCCAGGACCGCCCAAACCCGTAGAGTTCAGAACCGAGACCCGACCCATGACCCGCAATTATCCCCATTTAAAACCCAGGACCGCCCAAACCCGTAGAGTTCAGAACCGAGACCCGACCCATGACCTGCAATTATCACCATTTAAAACCCAGGACCGCCCATACCCGTAGAGTTCAGAACCGAGACCCGACCCATGACCTGCAATTATCCCCATTTAAAACCCAGGACCGCCCAAACCCGTAGAGTTCAGAACCGAGACCCGACCCATGACCTGCAATTATCCCCATTTAAAACCCAGGACCGCCCAAACCCGTAGAGTTCAGAACCGAGACCCGACCCATGACCCGCAATTATCACCATTTAAAACCCAGGACCGCCCATACCCGTAGAGTTCAGAACCGAGACCCGACCCATGACCCGCAATTATCACCATTTAAAACCCAGGACCGCCCAAACCCGTAGAGTTCAGAACCGAGACCCGACCCATGACCCGCAATTATCACCATTTAAAACCCAGGACCGCCCATACCCGTAGAGTTCAGAACCGAGACCCGACCCATGACCTGCAATTATTCCCATTTAAAACCCAGGACCGCCCAAACCCGTAGAGTTCAGAACCGAGACCCGACCCATGACCCGCAATTATCACCATTTAAAACCCAGGACCGCCCATACCCGTAGAGTTCAGAACCGAGACCCGACCCATGACCTGCAATTATCCCCATTTAAAACCCAGGACCGCCCAAACCCGTAGAGTTCAGAACCGAGACCCGACCCATGACCTGCAATTATCCCCATTTAAAACCCAGGACCGCCCAAACCCGTAGAGTTCAGAACCGAGACCCGACCCATGACCCGCAATTATCACCATTTAAAACCCAGGACCGCCCATACCCGTAGAGTTCAGAACCGAGACCCGACCCATGACCCGCAATTATCACCATTTAAAACCCAGGACCGCCCAAACCCGTAGAGTTCAGAACCGAGACCCGACCCATGACCCGCAATTATCACCATTTAAAACCCAGGACCGCCCATACCCGTAGAGTTCAGAACCGAGACCCGACCCATGACCTGCAATTATTCCCATTTAAAACCCAGGACCGCCCAAACCCGTAGAGTTCAGAACCGAGACCCGACCCGGAATGACCCGGAAAAATCCCCATTTGCATTCACAGATTAACAGCTGTGAATTGGCTGAAGTAAGAAGGTTTGTGTTGTTGCTTAAAAAATACTGTTATGGTTCTGTTTTGGGTTTGACGTTGTTATATTTAATGTTCTTATTTTTGCCCATATTAGTTCCACTCACATATGTTAATGTTGTTCACATGGGTGGGAGACTGGCAGCGCAGCAGGACCAGGAGCTGGAGGTTCTGGGAGTTGAGAGGTGGGAATCTTAAGTAATGAAGAACCTGTGAGAGGTGGCAGTTGCAGCCTCCGAAAATGGCAACTCGTTTTTTGGAATAAAAACCCAGTTTCACGGGACTTTGTATGGGCGCTGTTACAATACTGTTATCTAGATATTCTTAAACAAATTTATTTTCTAAGATGTAGAGTTAATAAATAAGAAAATAGAAATAAGCATAATTCATGCTGCAACTCTATCATACCAGCATTTTGTTCATTTATGCCTGCACCCATGAAATACATGGAGTTTTTTCTACCTGTAGATATACGTGTTATACGGAAACCCAACCTGGTGCAGGACTCTGCTCAGCATACATGTGGTTAAAGGTGTTGTAATGATCTAGGATTTGAACTATGGGAATTCTACAGGATTAAATAAAAAGGAGCCTAGGATGGAGTCATTTGTGAGCCACATGTCATCTTTGTTTGGTCAAAACTGCTAAATGTTACAAGGCTGGATGCCATTTGTAGAAGTGCTAATATTTTAAGTGCACTCACTTAACTGCTGCCACTTATATTATACTGACGTGTGAACAATGATTGAGTCTGTTGCTGCCCTCAAACACAAACTTAGCTCTTTTTACCCACCGGGCAAAAATTGGTTTAATAGACATTTAAAAATTTAATTATGTCCATTTGCTTTTGGTTGAAAAGTGACAGCTAAAAAGCCGCAATTTTCTGGTTGTCGACTGGGTTTTCAACGTCTATTACTGGACTAAAGTGGGACAAAATCAGACCGACCAATCAGAGCCCAATTTTCAACACGACAAACACCTTGCCCAACTTTCTGGACTAAATCAAGACTAAGACAGACCGACCAGATTTAGCCTAAAAACCAAAGTCTAAATGACATCTAGTGTTCAGGGGGTTTGTTACTTAAAGCTCTTCATGGATATGCTTTATAGGTTGGAGGTTAATGTCAAGCATTTTAAGTGTCCTGTAGCATTTATTGATTTAATAACTTACAGTTTTGGATAAATAACAGTTTGGCAAAATCTTACCATTGAGGACTAGAGGAACAGCCGGTTTAACCCTCATCTGGGTGTTGACCATGTGGTGTCTGCCTGTTTTCTTGGAGCTTCGCTGTCGGGCCATCACCTTGGCTGTGTGTCCTCCCTCCTTAGCACCAGAAGAAGCATAAAACATCTGGAGGAAGAGATTTAAATGTTTACATGAAGATTAACTTTATTGAATTTTAGATACTCATCCGTTCTGGTGTCACTCGCCTCTCCAGAACCTCTCCTCTCCATGCGAACAGAGGACATGTTGGCTAACAGAGCCTCCAGGTGGTTATATCCCATCTGTCTGTGCGGGATCTGTTCTCCTGTTAGCTCCTTGTACTCCGACTGCAGGCGGGACAAGGACACTCCACCTCTGTTGGCCTGGATGATGGCCTGCAGGGTCCTTTTCGCCAACTCCACTTCAGCCATCTGGGATGATAAAAAGGAAAAAAAATAGCAAAAAAAGGTACCAAATGCACCAAGAATATAAAACACATAATAGCTTAATAAGAGAAAAGGTAGTAAAGTATTTTAGGAGAAAATAAAAAATGCTTGATGACAAAGTGATGTCAGTTAGTTACAGTAAACCTGCGGGTTTGCCGAAGAATGCCACATCTTGCATCTTTCATAAAGTCAAAACACATTGTTGTTTCGCCAACTACCATTTTGGATAATGACAAAACAAATACGGCGGACTCTATTATTTCACTGTCTGTAAACATAAACAAGTCTGTTATTTCTTGTAGATGTTCTCTAGCTTAAGATGGACACAAATCTGATATCTATTTATTTATTTAATCATAATGAGAGGGAGCAGAATGAAGAAAATACAGCATAATCCAATCCCGTAACACAACTGTTTTAACCAATAATATTTGCATAATAAATACCGAAATATGAGCTTTGATAACATTTTTCAAGTTTAATCTTTTTTTCATTTGTTTCATTGTGTCTCTTACATGTTTTTTTTAAACACAGTAAGAGATTTAGCTTTTTTTTTTTTTATTTATCCACATTTTTCCATAAAGGGATTCCATAACAGAAGCACATCACTCCAATACTTAAGTTTTGAACCTTGATTTTATAAATATTTCAAATCTTTTAAAATTACATTTACTTTGGCTTTTCTGAAATCTCTTTTGAATATTACACCTGTCTTATAAAGCTGGTAAATCAATTTCAATATACAGAACTGTAATCAGTTAAATCATCAAATTTTAATATTTGTAACTCAATGAGTAAAATATTATTTTAACAAACCTTATGTGTGTTTTATAAATATTTCCCCATATTTCTATACAATAAGTCCAATATAGAAAATCAAAGAAATATATAACAGATAAAGTGCCTTTCAGTTTAAATAATCTTATTTTAGCTACTTTAGAAATTTGCAGGAAATATTTTCATGACCAATAAAATCCAAAAGCTTAATTTCACTAACTTGACCAATCTTAGCTCCTTATATATCCAATGGCAATTCATTAATCATATTTAATTTCATTGTATTTATTTATACAGCCCTTTAAAAACAGTAGAAGACTAGAACCATGGAAACTTTAATGTTTTTCATCATTTCAAAAACATCTTTATTCAATATGATACAATTGTAGGTTACAGAGAAAGATCTGGACTGTGTTGGACTTGTGGGGGACACACCCTGATCAGGCAGCTTTAGTTTAAACAGGCGAGATCTGACAGATGAAAAAGGTTATAATAACGTTATAACAAAAGATGCAACAAAATATGCAGAAACGGTGAAGCGTTATTTAATATTCCAGAGGAGAAAAGTCTGATTAAATTGTATCGATCACTTGTTGATGTGGGAAACTGACGTAACGCTGTCACTCCAGTTCCACAACCTCCACAAGACACCAGGCTGCTTTCCTCTAACTTCCCACGTATTTATTTTATTTTTTTAATTTGAGGCAAAACCTTCGGATTAAAAATGAACCCCCTAGGATCAGCTACATTATCTAGTTTCGGTATCGTTTCCTTACGCTACTTGTAGATAAATCCTCCCAACTGCTCAAACATTTCACTAAAACAATGCGCTTAGCGAACCGGAAGTAGGTAAAAGTCCCTTCAGAATAAAACAATAGAAGCTTATTTTAACTGAGGTTGGAAATAGAGTTGAAACCCCTGACCGGAAGTACAATTCTTTGTCCTGCCTAGCTTTATTTAAAGTCATCTCACAATCAGAATACACAAAATACACACTGAGCCCAACTTTGTCTTTAAAGTTAATGAACATCGATAAAAGTAAGAAAAGCTTCAAGACCTTGGTGAGAAGAAACGAGGTGGTGAAGTCTGGAGCCGCTGTCAGAGGTGTCACCGCCACGGGGCTGAGCTGGTGGCCGACCGGGGCTCGGTGTCCCGTGCGACTGATTGCCAGGCCGGGTCGCAGCCGATCCGGGAACAGCCTCCCTCCCTCCCGTCCGTCACCTGATTGGTCGCCTGCGGATGATGGGCCCTTTGGCTAATTACAGAGCTATCCTTTCCAGAAGCTGCAACACTAAGGAATTCAAATTCCTGCAGTCTTATAAACAGGATATAAAATATAAAATTTTAACTTTAAAGTTAAAAGTTAAAAGTAGAGACTGTAAACAAACATTTTAATCAATAATTTTAAGCAGTTTTTATACCTAATAATTTAGAGATACACAATAGATAGAAGTCAGACATATACAGTAGTTCCTTTTAAACAATATTATAGATAAAAATGTTCTTGATAAAGTGTTATTGAAGCAATATATATATATATATATATATACACATTTTTAAGATTGTATGAAAAAAACTATTATTGGTTACGCATTTCTGCGTACATGCATGTATGTATGTACACATTAGATACTAATGGGCAATGTTTAAAATAGTATATAAGAATTAATGGGATCATTAGCGACTATTATGTTACAATGTGTGTGAATATGTAATAAAAACAGTGTTGTTATCTATTGTAGTATATTGATAAAGTAATGTATTGAGATTTGTTAAATTTAAGTTATGTTAGTTTTGTAGTACGGAGCACCTAAACTGACTAAAGCAGCATAGTGGATTTTTAAGTACAATTTCATTTATTGTTTTATTTCTCTTTCTGTATTTCTATTATTATTTTATATTTCTATATTAAGTTGATGTTATTGGTTTAATTCTCTTTTCTTGCATGAATATTGGTATGGACCCCATAAGGAATAGCAAAAGTGTTAAACTGAAGTTAATGGGTATCCTCAGTAAACAATAAATATAAGCAGATATTCCATGTTTCAAAGTAAAATAAAAAGCGTGGCTGTTTATTGGTCCGATTTAACTATAACAATGCACAGATAGAAGTTATATATCGGTGACAAAATATTTAATGATGTAGGCTAAATTCAAGTAGAGCTAAATATTTAAACATAAACTGCTATAGTGTTAACTTCACCACTAATATATTGGGGTATGATTTACTAAACATTATTTTGTCTAAGTTTATTTTCTTATAAATTTGAATAGGAGTCAATGAGTTGATGCAATAAGCTGGTTTTACTTACAAAACTTTTCCTTGGACATAATTGTACTTTATTGTTTCTTTTTTAGGGGGGGGGGGGGTATAAATGTCTTGTAATCTGATTAAACTAAAAGTTTTTGGTCAATAATCGTCACAGTTAGGATTGGGGGGTTCAGATGGCAGCTGGCATGAGGGCACCATCCCGTCCTTAAGAATACGCCCTACATAACTTTCCAAATGAGTAGATTTTTGCAAGAGGGACTGATGCACTTCAAAATAAATTGATACAATTTTGAAAAAAATCACATAATGAGGGAATATTTGATGAAATATGGAATTGACATAAATTTGGCAAAGAAATCAATGTCAATTGATCAAATGTCTTAAAACAAAGAGCATTCAATCGAGATTAATGTCAAATGGGGTGTGGTCTAAATGAGCTCACAATAGCATCTCCGGTCCCATGCTTATTTGTGGCGCTATATAACACAATATTTTTTTCAGTTATGCATTGCTTATAACATTAGCCCAATTTTTTTCAGTAACATAAGCATTCAGAGATTTAAGTTTCCCAAAAATACTTCAGTCTAATTGACTTACCCTATTCCCTTATCAACTGGAGCTAAAATTTAGTAACTTTGTATACTTTTTCTGTTTTCCTCTTTGTTAAGGGCGGTTAAGCCTTTGATGTAGAACTGTGTATTATTACCATAGCTGTACTCATAAGACTTACCAAAATAAAAGCATATAACCTCAATGGCAGTTACAACAAAAGTAACTTTACTAAGTTGTCCTTTGTATATAGTTTGTATAGTTGATAAGCTTAGAAGACTGTGTTGATGCACGGAAAACCTTTTGTGTTAACATAGATTTAGCAGCAGGGTCATTAAATGGGCAAAGCTAAGAGCTACTAAAGCTGATATAGCTTCTCTGCTGTTTTCCCATTGCTAATATCTGTCCCTTACATAACTACAGAGCTATAAAAATTGGAACAACATGACCAAGATATCTATTTGATGAATAAATTAAATTGTCTTGGGATTTACAAACCCAAACACCTATGAGTTTAAATTATCATTTACTATATACAAATAAATCCATTTAATGACAGATCATAAGCAAAACACTGCCTAATATATCTGAAAATGTAGTTGTTTTTAAAGCTGGCATATGTCAATGGTTAAAAAATAATATTTAATAACACATCTGAATATTTACAAAGATGTATTTTAAAACTATAAAGCGAATATAAGATGACTTATGTAATAATATTTGGCTGTAGAACTCACTTATTTACAAATATTCTTAAACATCCTTATAAAAAACAGCAAAGGTTACATTAACATTTTGAAACTTATTTAGATTTTTTTTTTTATATATATTTCAAATATTTCTAATTCAACTTATAGCTACTCAAAGTGATTATGACAAACTTTATGTCAATGACAGACATAGTCCAGGTCAAGGGAAAACCCTACAGAATAAATAATGATAGTCGTTCTACATAATTACGCCTTACCGTTAGGGGGCGCAAGTTCCCATAATTGCTGCATTTTTTTATTGTTTGGTGATGATAGCGGAAACCAGCTGTCAGAAGCCGGAAAATAGTCGGATTAGCAAAGTAGAATATCCCAAAACTGACAACAGCGTATTTTAATGTTTCGATGAAAGCTTGAAAGGACTACATTTAACAACAGATATCTCTGTTTGCCCGGTGAGCTGATTTATTTGTTTTTGCCATAATTGGCTAATTTCCACCTCATAACGGGCCAGCTAGCTAGCTAAGCAGCTTCTTTTTATTTTTAGCTACATTATATCCGACCCTATACATTATTTTATGAATTATTGTTAAATAGTTTCTTTACCAACTGGTAACTTATTTTCATATGGTATTTATTAACTCGGGAATTTTGCTTTCCACGACCTTTCTTTAGCAGTGCAGCATTAGCAATTTGGGTGGCTAATATGGACTTTATGCTGCACCTTATTCACTTTAAACACTTTTAAAACATAATAATTTTAGTCTTACTTAATGCAGCCTTTCATTTATATTATTGATGTTAATATCTTAATGTAAATATAAAAACTAAGTCGGAAAAAGTCATAGGAATTTACGACATGATCTGGCAAAACAGCTAAGGAGAAGAAAAGGGCAACAAACCATTTTCAAATACTTGCATATATCATATCATTCAGGGCTCTTAAAAGTATACCACCCTAAATTAAACCAGTTTCCAGTATTGTGCCAATAATTGAAAGGTTTTATCAACCTCTAAAGTCCTTTACAGGATCTACAAGTTGGTTTTGTAGGTTCCAGATTTTCAGTACAATAACTGTATAAACTATTTTCAGGAAATAGTAGTAAAATGTTTATTTAAATATCATTGAACACCTGGGTATGTAGCATGTGTTAACTCTGTTGATCTTTAGAAAAGACAACATTTTTAATCTATAATGTTTATTGTTTAGATTTTTATGATGGTGGATTTGATGATAGTGTATTTGGATTGGGAAAAGTTTTTGTCATATTTTCTGTTTCTGAAGGAAAGGTTTTATTTTATTTATTTATTTGGTGTAAATATATATATATTTTTTATATATATATATATATATATATATATATATATATATATATATGTGTGTGTACGTTATACCATTATTTTACCAGGAAGAGCTATTAAGGATTAAAAAAAACATATTTTCAAAGGAGCATTGGCCACATCTGTTTGAAATTAGTCTTTGCTTCTCAGTTATATTTATCTGTGATTATGTTAATATATTTTTATCAATGTGTTTAACTGATCGTATAAATACTACATACTACATATTTGCACTTGAAAATATGAAAACTATTTGCTGCTCAGTCCAATGTAAGAATGTTTTTGTAAAAGGACCTATGTAATATTGATTTAACTCTAATTGATTGTTTTGTAGTAAATGAGACTATTTAGAATCAATCGCCATCATAATGCATCATGCTCATCGATGAAATAAGAAGTCAAATGAGATTGCAACATCCATCTTGGGTTTGTGCAGAACATTGAATTCAGCATACGAGTTTCAATCCGCTGTGACGTTTTCGGCTCAGAGATCACGCCCTAAAGTCGACCCGCTTTCACTTATCTTTGAGACAGAGAAGAGGGGAGGAATTGAATCGGATGAATAAAATAAAATAGCAAAAGAACCTTGAAGGTTTTTCTATTTCCCTGGTAGTGAAACTATTTTGAGGTTTTAATCATGGCTATGAACAGGCGACATTCGTACACTCCCCGGGTGAGTAACCGGCTCCTCTATTCTTTAAGAATCACTTAAGAAACTTTTTCTAATTTATCATAACTTTAAAAAAGTCAACAAGTAGTATGTACTCACCATGCAGCAGTTGTAGGATTCACATCTGTATGTTTTAGTTAACAAAGCAGAATTTGAAGTCAGTCTTTTCACCCTATTGGACGTATTACCTGTTTGCAGTCTCATCAATCCCAGTTAGAACTACATTACAACATCTCATGTTGGAGCTTTGAAAATAAAATAATAATTAAAATCCTTAAACGCTTCTGATGTGAGCTGGCTGGTTTAGAATCCATCCATCCAGTGTGAATTCACGTGTCCCTGCAGCCTGGACTGACTTCGTTGTTATAAGAGCCTCTTTGTGTTTGATGGTGCTGTTTCCTTAGGATCTTTGTTGTCGCAGGACATATGACTGACTATGTGATGCCATCTCTGCTCCCTCAGGACTCTAGTGGAATATCTTCAACTGTGACTAAGCAGAAAGAAAAAATCAACAACATATTTTCCTGACCTTTTATTGATGTTTTAGTAATAAAATTAAAGTATATGTTTTTTTATACGTATATTGGAATAGAACATAGCTAAAACTGGAGTGAAGTATTATTTGAACAAAAAACAACCGTTTGACTGAATTTTTTCATGCCTCAGAAACTTTCCTTTGCTGTATTCTGAAACATTTCTTCTCCTCACCTGTGTTTTCTATGGCCCTCAGCTGACCAGCCCATTGATCAGCAAAATGAGCAGCCAAGGAACAGTGGAGAGCGCTAAAGCTCCAAAGGTAGGCTGCTTTTTCAAAGAAAAATGCAAAAACATTAAGAGGTTCTTGGAAATCAGTGATTATTTTTTCTCCTTCAGATTGGCTCTACGGTGGAGGTGACTGGTAAAGGCCAGCGAGGTACCGTCGCCTACATCGGTGCTACCCTGTTTGCCTCAGGTAAATGGGTGGGGATCATCCTGGACGAGCCCAAAGGAAAGAATGACGGCACGGTGCAAGGGAAGCGCTACTTCACCTGTGAAGAAAATCACGGAATATTCGTCAGATCATCCCAGGTTAGTGATGGAAATGTATTAAAATGATGTAACCGTACTCACCACCAAGGGGCGCCATCAGGATGTAGCAAAAGGTTTATTAGGGATTTTACTCAGAATTATTGAACTTTTCTAAAAGTTCTGTATTCACCATTCTGTAATAGAAATAAGCAGCCTGTTAATACATTATCTTTAAGTCCCTTCAAGATAAAAATTACTGGTTTAATAAGTTAGTGCTTTATATTTTTCACTCCTGCAAGAATTTGGTGTTTCTTTTCCTTTCAGTACTCTAATTCTCTTAATTGTGACCCAGATAAATATCCACAGCGCAACTTGAGGTGTTTTATTGCAATTTGTTATGACAAAATGATTAAAATGTTCCTATTTCCTCTGCTGTGGTCAAATAAGGGCGCTATGTGGTGAAAATGAGGGACTATAGAAAAGGATTGTACAAAGATTACAGAAGGATATTTAAATAAACAAAATAAATACATTAGAATTAGAATAATTATAAATAAATAGGTAGTAGTTATACTAGTAATGGATATTTAAAAAATTATAATTTCTTTGCTCTGTTAATTTCTTTTAATAAAGCTTCAGCAAAAAAAATGAGTAGGAAACTAATCTATAGTGGCGTATTTGTATTGAAAATATCTATATATTTTTACAGAGCTTTTCCAGTGTGTGTTTTTACATGCTTCACAGCTTTTTTGTTGCATTTACAAACTTTGCGTGTTTAGACCCAGATAACATCCTCGTCCATTTCAGTCTTATTGGTCCAAATGTAAAGTCCTGTTCTGTCTGTGCAGATCCAAGTCATTGACGATGGCTCGGCTGCCACCTCACCGGAAACCCCTGAGTCCACCTTGGCAAAGATACTCAAACAAAAAGGTGAGAAAATACAACAACATAGACCCGCAACAGGTGAAACTGTAAAACATTCCTGTCAAAATCTCTAACAGTGATCTCCGTTTGTTTTTCCAGAAATCCCTGAGACCCCCAGAACAACAAAGCAGGTATCAAACAGTCAAACATTCCCCCCCACAGTTTGGAAAGAGTTAAATGTTTTAAATATTTGGACAGTCAGTAAATTTGATGATAATGAAAGAGATTAAAAACAGTTTTTACATTTTTATTAGTTGTATGTTGTGAACTACAGGCTCCTTTTCTGTCTGAGCTGTTTTTTGGTGGAGAAGGAATGTCAGCATTTAGTTTGACTTCTGCTGTTCTTCTCAATATTATTTGCAGACCCCAAGCAACATTAAGAAGGTATTGCTGTTTGAATTCAGTACTTCTGCTTCGCCTGGGTTTTCCTTCTTCACACTAATTCAGTTGTTCATCTTTGATTAAAAGCATAACTTATCAGTGACTACAGATTTTTTTTCCATCTTGATTTCTTTACATTCATACTCTGATGGTGTTTCCTGTTCACACCCAAACCGGGCCTGATGTATAATTTCCCTCTACTCCTACAAACTGCCTTTATAGAGGCCTTGCTGCATGATCTTCAACTCTTCTGCTGTGCTTTAAACCAGGATTTCTATCAAAGAGAGCCAAACAATGCATGCTGCAGCTTGTTATTTAACATAGACCAATATGCTTTTTTTAACCTGCTTCTAATCTCCTGTTTTACTCCACTGCTGAATGTGTGTGTGCCTGTTTTGTTGCCTGTTGGTATGTTTGAATCCATCCTTCTCCAAATCTCCTCCTCCTCCCCAGTCCTCTACCCGCCGCTCTGCAAAGGTGAGCTTCTTCTAAGCAGTAGAGGTTGCCTAGAATGATGTGGCTTCTGTATTTTTCATCCAGAAAAAAGTTAAAACAGATTGGATTGCATGCATATAGTTCAGCTGCCCTTTAAATACACTGTTTTGCTCTTTTCGTTGTATTCATTCAATATTTGAGCCTTTAAACAATGTTTTTAGTACAGATTTGGAACTTGTGAGCATTAATTAAAGAAATAAATTGGCACAGTAATTAGGAACAGCTATACCACATAAGCTTCTCTCTAAGTTCATACTTCACCTATGATGGACTGCTGTTACAAATGATCACTTTTCCTTTCCTAATATTTGGCTGAACATCTTGGGTTTAAAGTATAATATGTATAATAATGTACTGCCCAGTGGTGGCTGAATTAATAACAATACAACCATGCAACATCAACATCTGCATAGTGTAGCATGGAATCAGGTCATTGTTGTGACATTAGCATTTGCATGCACCTCTTAGCAGTTAGCACATATGTCACACATTTTTTTGACATTTCCAAATTCATTAGCAGCAGATAAGATTATGTAATGAAGTGTTGGATGTAGAAAGGTGATGCTGGAATAGTAGTTAAAGCTATTTATGTTCATGAACCATAGACACACCAGGCAGATAAATGATGAGACGTCTGAACTAAAATAACCTTTTCATTTCATTTTCTTTTAAACAAAGATACAGCTTTAGATTATTTTTCTGGATAAAGAAAACTACCGGAGCAGGTTAGCAACCGACTTGTTTTCTGATCCGATCAGAAACGTGATGAACAAATGAAAGCTCATCAGAAAAAGAGCCTTTCACATTAGCATACAGGAAAAATTTGGTTAATGTCTTCAAATTACCGTAACCCTAAATTCCAGTTGCTGAAGGCAGACCTGAGTAAACACAGGGGAGACCAAACATTAAGCGAGCATTTTTCCTGTAGTAGGATATAACAGCCGGCTGTAGAGGGATCTGCAGGGAAAACCTGATCATGCTCAAGCTAGCAGAATATGTCTCCTCATGCTCTAAAACAAGAGGAACACACTTAAATAAAATTTAAAAAATGGTTATCTGTAATACTAACTATTTCATAAAATATTTATTTGACCTTTAAACATTGATACCTTCATGCTGTCTGTGGGATGAAGATAATCAAACAGAGCAGGATGCTGTAATGGAGACTAAAACCACATCAGGATCTAATTTAGCTTGTAACTGCCAGGTGCTAACAGTTTCTATGATTGTCCAATGATAGTGGAGCACGCCACGCCTCACGCCTGCTACCTCACTCCCCTCCCTCCTGGTGCGTCCCAGCCGCATCAGTCTGCCGCTAAGGGTAGGCTCCTGTTATGTCAGAGCACCTGTTATGTTGCCTCACAGGGGGTGGGTGTGATTGCCTTTTTTTTTTGTCCTGCACTGGAGCATTGGAGTCTGGTGATGAGAATTGGCACGGTGGCAAAAGGTCTGCTTCGATAACTTCTTCATCAGATCTCTTTCTATCAACAGGCATCTCGTGAGAGCCTTTCTGCTTCTCTGTCTGGAGATGTCAGCGAGGGGAGCCTGTCCTCCCAGCAGGGGGCGCTGGGTGCACCAGTTACTCCTCAGCCAAGCGGATCTCCTGCAGCCCTGGCTCCTCAAACCCCAGCTCCTCCCAGCAAGGTACGCTTCTACAGAACTAGCTCTTGATTTTGAATCTTTCCTTTACATGTTTTAATTTCTCCATCCTGCTCATCGCCTTCATTTTCATTACATTTCATCCATGTTGTTACTTAACCAGGTGGAACCTGCACCGACCAAGCAGGTAGAGGTTTTTATGGCTTCATGCATGCTGGCATGAGTTTTTTAACAAACTCTGAGAACAATATGACCCTGGCCAAAACTTTTCGACACATCTAAGAAGTCCTTGCTGTGTATTTGGATTAAATTGTGAAGCTGCATGGTTCCACATCATCCACAGATCCCTCATTACTTTCACATGATGAACAATTCACTTAAGGAGGCACAAAGATGTTTAACTTCTGTTGTGAATTAAACCCTTTGTAAGGACAGTAAATGAGGTAATTGATATCCTTGTCTCTTAGGAGGAAGAGTCCCTGCGAGCTCAAGTCAAGGACCTGGAGGAAAAACTGGAGACTCTGAAGATGAAACGAACCGAGGATAAGGCTAAGCTGAAAGAACTGGAAAAGCACAAGATCCAGCTGGAGCAGCTGCAGGAGTGGAAGACCAAAATGCAGGAGCAGCAGGCTGAGCTGCAGAAGCAGCTCAAAGAGGCGAAAAAGGTGCTCAGACAACTTAGTTCTCATCGTAATAGTCTCTAAATTGCTTTGTGAATTAATCCTAAACCTTTAGAGATTATGCTACATCAGCACTGACCCGGTTGTTCTGGTCTACTTGTAGCAGACTACTGAAGGACACGTTTTGGTTTGTTTTAATGCCAATATTCATGCTTTGCATCTCTGACAATCGTCCAGTTATCTTTGTTGCCTTTGGTCACATTGTCTTTTGATGGGCGGCCATTTTTTCCTCAGTTTTGCCAATGAGATGTTTT